CAAATAATAGCTTTAATGGCCTGAAGCAAAGTGGACACAGCTAAAGAAGTAGGCAAAATCCCAATGTATGTGGATATTTTAAAATCAAACAAGTGGAGAAATAAATCAGTATATCTGAAGATATGAACAACATTGTCAATCAGCCTGACAGAAATGACATCCACAAAACCTTATACCCAACTTGTTGTACTTTTCAGATGCACTTGGGAACATTTACCAAGATAGACCATATCTCTTTAAAACACTGGGTCTTAAAATAAGACCCCAAAAATTTCAAAGGACTCAAATAAAAGAATATATGTTCAAAAAAGGAATTAAGCTAAATACCAAGTATTTAAAAAGGTTCCAAATATTGATTAGACAACATACTTCTATATAACCAATATGTCAAAAACAAAATAATTACATGAGAATGCAATGGTATTTTAAAATCAATAGAATTATAATTTCAACATATTAAAATACATGGGAATCTGATAATAGTGCATTTCCCAGCCGATTTATAGGCATAAATGCTAATATTAGAAAACAAGAGTAATTTAAAATCAACGATAAAGGTAGACAATTGGCCTCCCAGTTAAGACACCTGTGTACCATAGCAAAGTACCTGGGTTTGCTACTTAGCTCCGGCTCCTGTTGAAAGCTTCTTGCTAATGCAGGTGTTGGCGGGTATTGATGGTGGCTCAAGTAACTGAGCTCCTGCTGCTCACATGGCAGATAGGGACTGAGTTTGGGGCTCCCAGATTTAGCACTAGTCTGGCCCTGGCTGTCAAGAGCATTTGGGAAGTGAACCAGCAGGTGAAAGCATGTGTTCTCTCTCTCTATGCCTCTCATATTTTAAAAATGTCACTATACCTCAAAAAGAAGGAACATAAACAGAAAATTAAGAACCTAGTGAAAAGAAAAAAAATAGACATAACAAATAATAAATCACAAAGCACTGATATTTAGTCGTTGCTGGTTTTTTCAGTTGTCAAATTTGTGGTTCCTATTCCTATAAATTTAGGCACTGTCCAATCACCGATCATTCTTAGGGACAGTGCCCCAGTGAATACAATAAAGTTTCCAGTGTGCTTGAAGCTATGACTACCACCTGGTCATTTAGGGCTCCTTATACCAATAGATCAACTAACAACAACAAAAAAGTTACTACAGTGGTAGCAATAATTGCTATAGATTAGCAGTGAGGAGTTAGGGTTTCTGCTGCCCCATAAGACAAGAAGAAATGTGTCTAGAGACTGGGGCATTGCTTGGAGCATCTCTTGGTGCCTCCATGCAGGGAGGCAATGGAGAACAGCCGATTAGAAGAAATATGGCCTGATTAGGACACAGCTGCGGACTTCTCAGCAAAGCCCTTTGTTCCCTCGGCCAGGAAAGAAGACTAGGTCAGCAAAAGTGCTGCCTGGAGGTGAAAAGAATCAAGACTAGGTGTGGGAGGCCAGTTATGATGCCTGTCAATGACAACCTCAACACCAGCAGGGTTTGGTGCTTGTCTTACTGCTTCATGTGAAGTCTCTGTGCAGCTTTAGGCAGTCTAACACCATGAAAGGGACTCTGAGATAGGTGGAACCTAAAAGTAGAGGAGGCAGGAGCCTATCTGAGTGGTGAAAGGGGCCAGCTGTTAATGGACAGTATCATAGTCTCTCAGCCCCATCCCTCACCCCCGTCCCTGCTGCAGAGACCAGTCCCGGGAAGGCGTTGACTAGTTTTACAAAGAGCCCTGCTTCGGGCCCATGCTCAATGCCTCACTTCTTGTGTCCTGGGCTTCTCTAATGTGATGTCATGGGACCCCCATGGGAACACCACTGTCAAGCACGAGTTGTGAATGTGAGGGATAATGTTTATAGAACTAGCTAGGAACAGTAGGGCCTGGAGTCCAAAGAGGAAGCCCCTCTCATTTTCCAGATAAACAGGTCTGGGGCTTATTTCCTAGGTCTCCTCAGAAGGTCACATGTGAGGGAGCCCCACAGTGTTGGTGCACTGAACACAAATGTATTGTTGTACGGACATTGCTTCATTCTCCATATTCCTCCGGCTGCCTTTCACGTGGTTCCCTCCTTGGATCAGCTCCCACATGAACTGCTTCCACCCTCTCTTTTGTTTTTGCCTCTGCTTTGGGGGAAACCCAGGCTAGGACACTGATCTTTATAACAGAATTGATTTCTCCTGGCCACCCAGAGCTGCACTCATTCTTAACTTCCCTTAGAAACTGCTCAGCACTACTGGGAGTTCGTGTGCCTGGAACAAGGCAGTCCCGCTTTGGAGAATTAGGGCTGGCAGCTTTCCCTAGAGAAGACCTTCTTCTTTGTTGACCCATTGCTAATGGCCTCACTGCTGCCCTAATTCCTTTTTTTTTTTTTTTTTAGGAATTTTAAGAAACATACCCAATTTCTCTCAAACACATAAACCAAGCAAACACCTAGTTCATTGTTGCACATTAATCCAGCTCAGAAGGTAAATATGCAGTAGTTGGTAAAGAATCAGTACATGACTGCATTTCTCTTTGCCCTCTAGTTGCAGAAATTTGTTTTCTTTGCTGTTTCATGGAATCTTGCAAACTTATTTTCTTCTCCTTAAATGACAGACTATTTTCTTTGGCATAGCCCCAGAGGACAGCAAGAGTTAAACTTGCTGCTCTGTGAAAGAGCTATGTTTGTTTAGAAGTTACTTAGAAGGCCGTGAGAGCAGGCGACCTGGATTGTAGGGAGCAGCCCCAGGAAACTGGGGGTATTTTCTTTCCTGTCTTTTTGCCAGGATCCTGGGTTTTCCCTGGCCAATAGCAATTTGCAAGAAAGTCAAGAATCTCATAGGACACCAGCCACACTGCTTTCTTAGAAGCGACTGCTTAGCCTTACTTAACAAGATGAGGAACATGGGAAATGACAAGTGTAGTGTAAGGTTCCACATGACAAATGGTGCTTGATAATCTTCCCAGATCAATTTTAGGAGAGGAGACCACATAGCAATGAAAAGGTATTCTCTGATCATATATGTCCTTTATGCTTGAGGAGGGGTACAGTCTGTGTTAAAAACAGGATAAACCTCAAAAGAATACAGTGATTGCCCCCAACTGACCCATAAAGAGAAAAGAATTTAAAAGAGAAAGCTGCAAACCAGGAGGCTCAAGAGTAAATTTTGAGGAATGATCTGTCAACATTTTAAACACAGGTAGCTCCTCAGTGGTGGGGGACAATGAGTTCATGCAACCATAAAGGGTTACAAACCCAGGTTTCTCTAATTGGAAGGATCTCAGGATTCTGTAACATCAACCTTAGGTTCGAAGATGGGCTCAGATAAGAGGGCAACGTTTATTTCACTTTTAGCTTTGTTAACAAACTTCGGGAATTCCCTGAGCATCCCAGGTAATATGTAAGAAAATTTCTAGATATGGAAGTGTATTTGGTGTTAATCCCATCCACTTGAGTTTCCTAAGAATTAAGAAAAACCACCAGAAACTCAGAAGCACATATGCTAGGGTATCAAATGGCAGTGTTTACTTTGAGAGTCTCCTTTTTGAAATCTGCATCATAAATCTGTTATTCTCGTTGTATCAGCGCAAGCTCCTGCCTTGCCTGTTTTTCCCCTCATGAAATATTTCACTTACTTTCAGGACAATAGCTGGATTCTGCGTGGTGCTGGCTAACCCCATGGACCTGCTCCACACATTACCTTCAAGACTGTTTATTTTACTTTCTCTTCTCCAGGACAGAGGTAATAACATAATTTAGTTCTATTCTTATTTCTTTTCAGTCTTAGGTATTTATTTTGTTATTTCATTTTTATTTCCTTTACTCCTTTCTATAAGAAGGTATAATCATCATGACTTTTACCTTCAGACATTTAACTTGTTAACAAGTCCAAAAGAGGGAGACCTTAAAAAAATGACTGGTTTATCTTACAGAAATGAAAATTAATGAGGTATAAAACATGAGATTTGGGGCTGGCACTATGGTATAGCAAGTAGAGCCACTGCCTGTGGCACCAGCATCCCATATGGGCACTGATTTAAGACCTGGTTACTGCACTTATAGTTCAGCTTCCTGCTAATGTGCCTGGGAAAGAAGAGGAAGATAGCCCAAGGACTTGCATCCCTGCACCAATGTGGGAGATCCGGAAGAAGCTCCTGACTCCTGGCTCCAGCCATTGTGACCATCTGGAGACTGAACCACCAGATGAAAGACCTCTCTTTCTGTTTCTCCCTCACCCTCTCTCTCTATCTCTGCCTTTCAAATAAATAAACCTTTAAAAAAAAAACCATGAATTTTCCCAGGTTCAATCCCTTTGTAAGATTATAGAGAACAAAAAGTGATGGCTGAATTATTAGTGTCAGCAAGGACCTCTTTAGAAAATGTTGTTTTTACATATTTTTATTTATTTGAAAGACTGAGAGACATAGACACACACATACACACACACAGATGTCATATTCACTGCTTCACTCTCCAAATGCTCTCAACAACCTAGATTGGGCAGGGCCAAAATTGTTAGCCCAAACACCTACCCCTATGTTGCATGTTTAGAGATCAAATACTTTACTTATCTTCTTGTTCTCATTTCTCCAGCATGATAGTCCTTTGACAGTTAAAACTTAAAGACAAAATTATTTTTAAAATAGGGTAGCTTAATCAAGTCCAACAGTTATTTAATTCAACCAGTGGAACTATATCCCATTATCTAAATAAAACAGTTGGCTGTTCAACATAACTGTGAGGTAGAGGTGCAGGCAACACATAGATACAAAGCTAGAACAGAAGGAGCTGATGAGCACTTTTGAAAATTACAAAGATTAAAGTTTTTCCACTTAAATCCACTAAAAATGCTTTTTTTCATCTCATTATAGTCCATCTGCCCACAATTTACTTTCTTGAATATTTCCTTTGTCCCTTATATTTTATGTATATTCTTTCTTCTCTTCTCCATATTTATTTTTGCACTGTATTGCCTTTTCTGTTTTACATTTTCAGTATTTAGAAGAACAAAAGAGAAACACCGCAGCTTACCATTTCCACTAAGGATAAGTATAAGAACATCCCAGCAGTGACTGTTAAGATCCAGTCCTGGACACACGGGTCAGCAGACACCGAGAGGCCGATGTAGAGTCCCAGGAAGGCAGTTAGGGCGCTGACGAAATTCATCAGGATGGCAGTCTTCACGGGAAGTCCAGAGCTTAAGAGTACTGCAAAGTCTCCTGAAGGTTAAGGCCAAAAGAAACTATAATTGCAATTTAACTGATGACACTTTTAGTCTCGGGCAGTTTCAAATTTTTGCAGCTACATCCAGTGTTATAAGTCAAGTTGGGTGATCAGATAATAATGTGCGTTTACTTATTTCTCTAGCATTCTTAGTCAACTCATTCTACTACTATTAAAAAGTTGTACTTTGAGAATTCTATTCCTTTTGCTGCCCCTAATCATGGCACATACACAGAGAGGCCTGGGACATGTTTAGTCCTGTTATCCTGTGACATTTCAACTTAGGTCAATGTAAAACAGTCATTTGCTGTCCCAGGGTTTCTAAATCTTCTGACCTGGAAACTTTCCAGGTGAAATCATGACGTTATATGGGCTTTTATTATCTGTTTACGCAGGAACTGCTGTTGGGGGAAGAGAAAACTCTTAAAGAAAGAAGAGATTTTTTAAATCATGACAAAAGTTGCTTAGAGAATTTTTTTTCCCCTTCAGACATTGGTTTCACTGCCTTTACGATTACAGGGAAATAATCTTAGTCTCTCATTACCTTTACTCTAAAAGAAAAATAGCTTGTTAGTGAATCTGAAAGCATCTGTTTTAGTCTCTGGGATTGAGACGAGACTGAAATTCAATAAACAGACAGCTCTGGGACTCGGTTTCTTTGTTCCGCTGCATATCTGGCTCCATGAACAGGTCTTGAAATGTCGTTGCTGGCCTGATTCAGACTGTCCCATGGGCCTGTGGCTTTGGGTTGTGGAGCAAGTGCTACACCACAATTACAGGCGCTAACCATGGGACTCCAGGGAATGGCTCTCTGACCATGTACGTTGTAGTGAGCTCATGTAGGACTTTGGATAAACTGCTCCCAGAAGGATGGGTCAGTAATGAGTCGGTGCCAGGACTGTGAGTGATGGATGCTGGGTACAACAAGGGAAGAGTGGCCCAACAATGTAGGTCCAAAAAGGGAAAAAGAGGGAGTGACTGCTCAGTGTTCTCCTGAGGGCACATATGTACCCCGACCAGCCTCCAGCGTTTCTGGTCTATATTAGAAATGGCTCTTCTATCCCATCTTGGTTCCTTGGAGGCACGATATGAATTACAGGGCTATTAAGATTATCCAGAAAAACAGTCTTATGTACATCTGCTACCAGATACCTGTCATTCCAATTTTACACATGGCTTCAAACATTTTGTGCAAATCAGGTTGATGAAACCATGGTTGGTTTGGTTTTAATTTCAATGTTATTTTATCTCATTGGCTTGTTTACTGACATAATGAGTAAAAGAGCCCTCTTAATGTTTTCCCATAGTTAATATGCAGATTTTGAAGTCCTTTCCAAAGTTTTTTAAAATGAGGTTTCTCTGAATGACTCTCTTCCATACAGAATTCTCCAGAATCCAAAAAGATGCATTCTTGGTCCTGGGAAGATCACAAAAGAGTTTAATCAAATTTGATTCCAGGGTACAGGAATTGTTTTTCAAGTCCTCTTCTTATGGTTTAAATAAATGATAAATGGAAAGTATTCATGTCTCAATCTGTGCTGGAAAAAGAATCCTAGCAAATGATAGCTAGGAATATATTCTGACTTTCTCAACCACAGGAAAGAGTGGTTTGTCTACAGCACTTACCCATTTCATGTGGAATTTCATGGCACAAGATAGCGATTGTCGTGGTCACTCCTGACTCGCAGGAAGATGAGAAGGCCGCTCCTATCACTAGGCCATCCGCGAAGTTATGCAGGCTGTCCCCAACCAGTATCATCACCGCTAACAAGCTAATGGCTTTGCCTATGGAATAAAAAAAAAAAAGAAAAGAAAAAAAAGTGTAGTGTGAGAAGCATTTCTGGTGCTATGTGTTTCAGGGAATCCTTCAAGTACGACCACCTTTCCCACCTACTCTTGATAGTCTCACGCTGCATCTAATTAAATCACCCACTGTGTCTCAGCTTTCAAAATATGCGGGGACTCATGCTTGAACATATGGCCACTGTATTCCTAATTGGTCTACTACAAGGGGTCTCCAGAAAGCTTGTGGAAATGCGTAGTATGAAGAGCTACCATGCAGAGTTTCCAAAAAACTTTTGTACCAACACAAACTTACCTTTTAATTCCATTTCCATAAACTTTTTTAAGTTCCCACATAATGAGATAAATTATATACTAGGATTCATTATTACCTTATCCACTTATGCAAAAAGAAAATACAAACTATGTTCAACTTCCCAAAATACAAATGATGTTTCCATCCATGGGACTGAAATGAATTTTAAAATACTGTTGGGGCCAGCACCAGCACTGTGGCGCAGCAGGTTAATCCTCTGCCTGCGGCGCCAACATCCCACATGGGTGCTGGTTCTAGCCCGGCTGCTGTTCTTCCAATCCAGCTCTTTGCTGTGGCCTGGGAAGGCAGTAGAAGATGACTCAAATGCTTGGACCCCTGCACCTGCATTGGAGATTAGAAAGAAGCACCTGGCTCCTGGCTCGGATCAGTGCAGCTCTGGCCGTTGAGGCCATTTGGAGAATGAACCAACAGAAGGAAGAATTTTCTGTCTCTCCCTCTCACTGTCTGTAACTCTACCTCTCAAATAAATAAAATCTTTAATAAAAATAAAAATAAAATACTGTTAGAACCATGCTGTAGTCTAAATATTTGTGTCCACACCCAAATTCATGTACTGAAACTTATTCCCCTGAAGTAATGGCAATGGGAGGAGGGGCCTTTGGCAGGTGATTAGGTAATGAGGGTGGAGCCCTATGGAGTGGGATTAGTGCCCTTACTGAGAGTGACATGAGAGCTCTCTTGTCCCTTCCATCATTTGAGGACACAGCAAGTGGTCACCTTCTAGGACCCAGACAGTGGGTCCTTTACCACACACACTGATCTTGGACTTCCAAGCTGCAGAACTATGAGAAGTAAACTTCTTTTGTTTATTAGCTACCAGGCTAAGTTAGTAGTTCATTAGGGCAGCCTGAACAGGTCAGGACAAACCACCCTGCTGAACGTCATTATAATGGAGTGTGCTTTCCAAAACTGTTCTCTCAGACTGTCCCCAAGTCAGTCTGCTGAGTGCAGCTTTTGCCATCGTGTGACCACTAGGCTTCCCTTTGCTAATGACTCTCCCAAACTCACTCTTCACCTTGACCACAACAGAACCACAACCAACTCTTGTGGTTAGCTTTTGGAACAATTACTCAGTGCTCTGGTCTTTCTGTAAAATAACTTTCAGTGCCGCAGCAGAGAAAAGAAACAGAAGCTCCTGTTTTCATGGAATTTTATTATATAATGCACATTATCTAATTAGGAGAGAGTCAATGAAATAATTTCAATCATAATTGGGTTCAAGTTTTTAATGGACAGAATTTCTGTTTTGAAAACTCTACATTGTATGTTATAACTCAATTAGAGTTGAATGACTAACAGAGAGAGCATTTTGAGGATAACACTGTTAGAACTGCCCAGGTAGACCATGTAATATAAAGTCATAAATCAATTGTCATGGCCTAAAGCTTCATTATTTATTCAGCTGAATACATATTGGGCTGTGCGACAGGTTTAAGCAGTCACTGTGGTTACTGTTAGAACTGAACATGTTATTATACTGATCGTATTTAATAGAAATAGAAAAAGTTACTTCTTGGTTTCCAATTGTTACCTGGTCTACAACTACAGAGAGATTATAATTTGGTTGTTTTTCATCTGGGGAATATGATTTGGATCATTGTATATTATGTATCATAAAACAAATGGCTTTTGTAAACAGCAGATACAGCCCAGATTATCAGCCAGGAGATAGCTATATTGACCGTGGTGCTAACGTGTCCCATGTATTTTATTTCTAAAACATCGTGCTTATTTACACATATCACTGTAGAACTGATTTATATCCTTCTTGTGGCTTACTAATTCATTTTATTCCATTCTAAAAATAAGCAGACTTCAAGTAACAGACAAAAAAACACAGTTACTGGGTTCAGAGACTTCTGATTAGTATTGCCTGGAAGTTCTCAGAGCCCAACAGCTACCAGGCCACTTGGCTGCTTCTGCCAATTTTCAGAAATAAAGATCTCCTTTGTGAAAAGAACTTTTCAGAAAAATTTGAACTGACACATTTGACAACATCAGAACATGCAAATACAACTGTGATTTCCATACACCTACATGTAGTTTTGATACAATAGAATACGGGGGATCATCAAAAAGGTCATGGAAAATGTGTATAATGAAAAGACTATGCAGGGATTCTAATTTTTTTGCACCAAAATAAACGTAACTTTTAACTTCATTTTCATGAACTTTTAAAAGTACTCTGGTATATTAAAATGGAAGACTTTTATCCTTAAACTTCTTGCTAGGAAACAAAGTGGTCTATCTTTCGCTGACTGTTCTTTTATGAATCTGATTATGTGTTTCTAAATGTCAGATCATGGACATGTAACAAGCCACGAGGCAAATAGACACATTTGCATGGAAGCCACCAAGAATACATTGTGCATATTTTAAAAGGCAATTTAAATATTATTCAGTGGAATATGAGTATTCACTGGTAATTGAATGTATGCTATGCATTACAAAATTATTCATAGTATTTTACCTTTGCTCACACACCTAGCAGTTACACTAAGTTCCACATTTCTGAACTATCAGAAGATTTCCATGGTGCAACTTGGGCTAGAATTAAAATAGCTTTGTTTTTTTGTTTATTTAAATCAGACCATGGATGGGATTTTTGCATTCTGTCTTTTGAAACACGAGTTCCAGCAATGAGGTAATACAAAGCAAGTAATCAAATATTTGAAGCTAATTCAAGATGTTTCTGGCGAAAAAGAGGACTTGAATTATCTAATTTGCATCTGTCTGTAATCATGCTGTATGCCAAGCTGCATATCTGAAACAGGAAGATACAAGGCCTAGCAGCTATTTGAATGAGGCCATCAGTACTCCCTGTCTAGCTTCCGTTCTCTGCTCCCAGTTTCACTTGACTTACCATTTCTTTTATTTTCTTTCAAAATTGAAAACAATTGGGTTGCAGGCCTACTGTTTATCAGGCATGCTAAATTACTCCTGGACTTAAAAATTTAGAAGGAAAATATTAACAATGTCTTGAGAGAAGAATTGGACAGGATATGTAATTACTTATTTTCAAGCAAATAAATGACATGGGCTAACTTATCTAAAACAGAACAATTCATATTAGTTCTTATTAATACACATCTTTATATCCTCAACTACAGTTCTAGGGATAAAGATTATTCTTACTTTACTTTTCAGTGCAAACACAATGCCTAAAACACAGGTCTTCAAACACTTTTGGAATGAACATCAGAATGTGAGAGAATGCACAAATGTATGCATGTTATCTGATTGCCAAGAAACTACTGATCCATTAGCACCTTTTCAGTTCCCCAGTATCAGAGCTCACAAACTACAGTATTCCAGGCAGTGACTTAACCACTCTAGCAAGCGGTTACTTCATTTGTGTAGTTCATATAGTACTTACTCTGATTTTGTTAAATTGGAAGAGAACTGATTGCAATAATATGTAATCTGTGTCAAGTGTTTCTCAATTCAGTACATGGTAGTCAACAGTATTGGGTAGCTCACCTACCAATAGTAGAGTGGGAATAAGTAATCAGGACGGCTTGCCATTAAAACAGTGTCACAAGAGGATGACATTCACTAGAAGAGTGGGGCAGGGATTCAAGAGTAATGTGAAAACAGAATGGACACAAGAAAAAATTTCAAAGAATTATTCAGAAACAAACAAAAAGGAATAAAATCCCATTCAAAACTGGTAAGTTAAATTCAGATACAGGAGCTGATGCTGTGGCATAGTAGGTTAAGCCTCGGCCCCTGACGCTGGCATCCCATGTGGACGCCGGTTCTGGTCCCAGCTGCTGCACTTCCAATCCTGCTCCCTGCTAATGGCCTGTGAAAGCAGTGGAAGATGGCCCAAGTGCTTGGGCCCCTGCACCTGTGTGGGAAACCTGGAAGAAACTCCTGGATCCTGGCTTCGGCCAGGCCCAGCCCCAGCCATTAGAGCCATTTGGGGAGTGAAATAGTAGATGGAAGATCTTTCTATCTCTCCCTCTCTAACTCTGCCTCTCAAAAAAAAAAAAATAAATAAATAAAATAAAATCATTAAAGAAAAAAAAGAAATATACAAAATATTTTAGGGGCAGTTTTGTGGCACAGAGGGTTAAGCCACCATTTGTGAAATGAGCATCCCACAGGAGCCGCAGTTTGAGTCCTGACTGTTCTGCTTCTGATCCAGCTCCCCGCCAATGTGTGTGGGAAAGGAGCAGATGTACTTGTCCCCTGCCACCCATGTAGGAGACCCAGATGGAGTTTCTGGCTCCTGGCTTCCCCCTGGCCCAGCCTCACTTTGGGGAGTGAATCAGCAGATGGAAGATCTCTGTCTCTCCTCCCTTCTGCAACTTTGCCTTTCAAATATGTAAATAAATCCCTGAAAAAAAATATCCTTGATAACCACATCTGCATTTTTACTAATTGAAGTTTGTAGAGAATCAGTGTTAAACAGTTGAGGAAAACAGCATTTTAAAGAATGGAGTCAAGTTAATACAAATGTGTGGTATCTTTGAAAGACATCAGATGAGAATATGTCTTTATTAAAAACATTTTTAAAAGTTTTTAATAATGAAACATGAAGAGTCTTCCCAAAAATCCATGAAATGTGAATTATGAAAAACTATGCATTAATTTTGAAATTTTCTGCATTAAAATAAACTTACCTAAGAATTCCATTTCTCCATGAAGCTCTTGGAGTCCCCCATACATACCAAATGTGAAATTTGTATGGTTTTCATTTTTTAAAAAAGATTTATTTATTTAAATGAAAGTCAGAGTTACAGAGAGAGAGAGAGATAGAGAGAGAGAGAGGTCTTCTTTCACTGGTTCACTCCCCAGTTGGCCGCAATGGCTGGAGCTGCACTGATCTGAAGCCAGGAGCTTCTTCCAGGTCTCCCACATGGGTGCAGGGGCCCAAGGACTTGGGCCATCTTCTACTGCTTTCCTAGGCCATAGCAGAGAGCTGGATTGGAAGTCAAGCAGCTGGGACTCAAACCAGCGCCCATAGGAGGTGCTGGCACTGCAGGCGGCAGCCTTGCCCACTACTCCACAATGCCAGCCCCAAAATCTATATGGTTTTCTAACATAACATAACATACATTTTCTAACAGAAATAATCTTGTTCTATTGCATTTTCTACATTTAAAGTTTGGTTTTTCAAAATTTGTACTCACATTTTCTGTTGGAGGCTGTCATACTGCTTATAGGAATTTCAGCTGCCTGTGAATCTTCTGGGCCTTTCTGTTTTAAAAATAAGAAAACAACCGATGTAAGATAAGCATAGTTATCATTGTGTCAAAAAATGAAATGTGAAGAATTTTGTTGATTTTTAAAAGATACTTTAAAACTCCAGATGTATATTAGTATTATGAAGTTTCATAGGCAATATACAACGTAGAATTGAAAGTGAATAGAGCGTACATTTTTTACTATCTACATATAGAAGAAAACAGTACTTTTCTATAGATCAGAATCTTCCATAGAGAATGGGAGGCTACCAAGACAGTTGATAATTCAGACTTTTGAATTAGGCAATCCTTTATGAAACTCAAAAGCTACAGAAAAATGAATGTTGACTTAATATGACTCTTCTCCTGATGATGGATTGTGGATCTGGGGATTTATCTTCTATTTGTAAGCAGATAGTGGACTGTGGATGGAGAATAAAGCCAGGCAAACCCAACACTTCATTTCATTCATTGCAACAAAATATTCTGTTTTCGTTGCTTTGCCAGTTACAAAAAAACTTGCCAGTTAAAAAAAGCATATGTCGTATCACTGGGTATGTAGGTAGAAACACGACTCCCCTGAATCATACCAGGTACGTGTCAGCAGACCCTTCTTTCCCCTCATTATGGTCTTTATCCTGAATCCCTCATTTTATGATATCAATACCTGTTGTCAAGAAAAATAGTATATATGTGTTTACTGTTTACATATGAAGTGAATGCGGCAAAATCTTAAAAAATTGTTACATTTTAAAGCTAAAGAAATAATAAACTCATTTTTTACACAAGTATATTGGGGCGGGAGTTTGGCCTGGTGGTTAAGACACCAGTTAGGATGCCCATGTCTTGTTTCTGAGTAGCTGGGTTTTTACTCAGCTCCATTTCCTGCTGGGAGGTAGCGGGTAGTCAACCAAATATTTGGGTCCCTGCTGTGCATTTGGGAGATCTGTGCTGAGTTCTTGGCTCCTGGCTTCAGCCTGCCTTAGCCCCAGCTGTTGTGGTCATTTGGGGAGCAAATAAGAGGATGGGAGCTCTATCTATCTGTCTCTCCAATAACATTAAAAAATTTAAGTAGATAAACAGACTCACAAAAGACAAATATAAGTAGATTTAACATTTCCTTCATCCATACAATACAGAAGTGAAATTCTCAACTTCCTTTCTCTATTAAGATTCCATAATTTTATTTCACACAGTGATTTCTAGTTCAGTTTCTGAGATACTTCTCTATCATTAAGAATTTTGATCTGCTTTACAAAGAGAATATGTTATCTAGTAAATTTCTTTTTTAAAGATTTTATTTGTTTATTCGAGAGGTAGAATTACAGACAGTGAGAGGGAGAAACAGAGAGAGAGGTGTTCCATCCGCTGGTTCACTCCCCAAATGATCACAACGGCCGGAGCTGAGCTGATCCGAAGCCAGGAGCCAGGGGTTTCCTCCAGGTCTCCCACATTGGTGCAAGGGCACAAGGTCTTGGGTCATCTTCTGTTGCTTTTCCAGGCCATAGCAGAGAGCTGGAGAGGAAGAGGAGCAGCCGGGACTAGAACCTGCTGGTGCCCATATGGGATGCCAGCGCCACAGGTGGAGGATTAACCTACTGCGCCACAGCATCAGCCCCCAAAATGTGTCCTTTTAAAAACAGATTTTGACCATTCTAACACCCAACGTTGTGGAACCATTGACAAAAATTTAGTGTGAGATATAAGAATTTTTTATGAAAAAGAGCAAAATCAAAGTTCAGTATAAGACCAGCAGTAGCTCTGCAAACGATGTAATGATAGGCTGTGTTTAGAAAAGGATCGCTAGGAAGCAAGCACAGACCTGTGGGATAGAGTTAGCAAAGGAAGGACACAGGCCCTCTGCCTGCAGCTGGGTGGAACCAGAAGCAAGAACAATGCAATCCCTTTATGTTGCATCCAAAGCCCAGCTATGATCAAAATGCTCTATAGTTTTATTTAAAGACATGAGTTCAAATATTTATTCTAGGACTTTTGTAAAAGTTCTCCAGAAATGTATTCTTCTTTTTTTTAACTTTTATTTAATGAATATAAATTTCCAAAGTACAGCTTATGGATTACAATGGCTTCTCCCCCATAACGTCCCTCCCACCCGCAACCCTCCCCTTTCCCACTCCCTCTCCCCTTCCATTCACATCAAGATTCATTTTCGATTCTCTTTATATACAGAAGATCAGTTTAGCATACATTAAGTAAAGATTTCAACAGTTTGCTCCCACACAGAAACATAAAGTGAAAAATACTGTTTGAGTACTAGTTATAGCATTAAATCTCAATTTACAGCACACTAAGGACAGAGATTCTACATGAGGAGTAAGTGCACAGTGACTCCTGTTGTTGACTTAACAAATTGACACTCTTGTTTATGGCCTCAGTAATTACCCTAGGCTCTTGTCATGAGCTGCCAAGGCTATGGAAGCCCCCTGAGTTCACCGACTCTGATCATATTTAGACAAGGCCATGGGCAAAGTGGAAGTTCTCTCCTCCCTTCAGAGAAAGGTACCTCCTTCTTTGATGACCTGTTCTTTCCACTGGGATCTCACTCGTGGAGATCTTTCATTTAGTTTTTTTTTTTTCCCCTAGAGTGTCTTGGCTTTCCATGCCTGAAATTCTCTCATGGGCTTTCAGCCGGATCCGTGTGCCTTAAGGGCTGATTCTGAGGCCAGAGTGCTGTTTAGGACATCTGCCATTCTATGGGTCTGCTGTGTATCTCACTTCCCTTGTTGGATCGTTCTCCCCATTTTTTATTCTATCAGCTAGTATTTGCAGACACTATTCTTGTTTATGTGATCCCTTTGGTTCTTAGTCCTATCATTATGATCAATTGTGAAGAGAAATTGATCACTGGGACTACTGAGATGGCATTGGTACATGCTACCTTGATGGGATTGAATTGGAATCCCCTGGTATGTTTCTAACTCTACCGTTTGAGGTAAGTCAGCTTGAGCATGTCCCGAATTGCACATCTCTTCCCTCTCTTATTCCCACTCTTATATTTAACAGCGATCACTTTTCAGTTAAGTTTCAGCACTTAAGAATAATTGTGTGTTGATTACAGTATTCAACCAAAAGTATTAAGTAGAATAAACAAAAAAAAATACTAAGAGGGATAACATACTAAGTTGTTCATCAACAGTCAGGGTGAGGGCTGATCAAGTCACCGTTTCTCAGAGTGTTCATTTCACTTTAACAGGTTTCCTTTTTGGTGCTCAGTTGGTTGTCACCTATCAGGGAGAACATGTGGTATTTGTCCCTTTGGGACTGGCTTATTTCACTCAGCATAATTTTTCCAAATTCCTAACAGGGATCACTTTTCAGTTAAAATTTAAACCCCTAAGAATAATTGTGTGTTAATTACAGAGTTCAACCAATGGTACTAGAACAAAAAAAATACTAAAATGGATAAAGTATTACATTGTACATCAACCTTCAGGACAAGAGCTGATCAAGACACTGTTTCTCATAGTGTCCATTTCACTTCAACATGTTTCCCCTTTGGTCCTCAGTTAGTTGTCACCGATCAGGGAGAACATATGATATTTGTCCCTTTGGGACTGGCTTAATTCACTCAGCATTGTGTTTTCCAATTTCCTCCATCTTGTTTCAAATGACCGAGTTTCATTGTTTTTGACTGCTGTATAGTATTCTATAAAGTACATGTCCCATAATTTCTTTATCCAGTCTACTGTTGATGGGCATTTGGGTTGGTTCCAGGTCTTAGCTATTGTGAATTGAGCTGCAATAAACATTAATGTGCAGACAGCTTTTTTGTTTGCCAATTTCATTTCCTTTGGGTAAATTCCAAGGAGTGGGATGGCTGGGTTGAATGGTAGGGTTATATTCAGGTTTCTGAGGAATCTCCAGACTGACTTCCATAGTGGCTTAACCAATTTGCATTCCCATCAACAGTGGGTTAGTGTCCCTTTTCCCCCATATCCTCTCCAGCATCTATTGTTGGTAGATTTCTGAATGTGAGTCATTCTAACCAGGGTGAGGTGAAACCTCATTGTGGTTTTGATTTGCATTTCCCTGATTGCTAGTGATCTTGAACATTTTTTCATGTGTCTGTTGGCCATTTGGATTTCCTCTTTTGAAAAATGTCTATTGAGGTCCTTGGCCCGTCTCTTAAGTGGGTTGTTGGTTTTGATGTTGTGGAGTTTCTTGATTTCTTTGTAGATTCTGGTTATCAACCCTTTATCTGTTGCATAGTTTGCAAATATTTTTTCCCATTCTGTTGGTTGCCTCTTCACTTTCCTGACTGTTTCTTTTGCAGTACAGAAACTTCTCAATTTGATGCAATCCCAAATGTTAATTTTGGCTTTGACTGCCTGTGCTTCTGGGGTGTTTTCCAAGAAGTCATTGCTGGTACCTATATCGTGCAGGGTTTTTCCAATGCTCTCTAATAATTTGATGGTGTCAGGTCGTAGATTTAAGTCTTTAATCCATGTTGAGTGAATTTTTGTGTAAGGTGAAAGGTAGGGGTCTTGCTTCATGATTCTGCACGTGGAAATCCAATTTTCCCAGCACCATTTATTGAATAGACTGTCCTTACTGCAGGGATTGGTTTTGGATCCTTGATCAAATATGAGTTGGCTGTAGATGTTTGGATTGATTTCTGGTGTTTCAATTCTGTTCCATTGGTCTATCCATCTTTTCTGTACCAGTACCATGCTGTTTTGATTTCAACTGCCCTGTAGTATGTCCTGAAATCTGGTATTGTGATGCCTCCAGCTTTGTTTTTGTTGTACAAGATTGCTTTAGCTATTCGAGGTCTCCTGTGTCTCCATATGAATTTCAGCATCATTTTTTCCAGATCTGAGAAGAAGGTCTTCGGTATCTTGATTGGTATTGCATTGAATCTATAAATTGCTTTTGGGAGAATGGACATTTTGATGATATTGATTCTTCCAATCCATGAGCATGGAAGATTTTTCCATTTCTTGGTATCCTCTTCTATTTCTTTCTTTAAGGTTTTGTAATTTTCATTGTAGAGATCCTTAATGTCCTTGGTTAAGTTTATTCCAAGGTATTTGATTGTTTTTGTAGCTATTGTGAATGGGATTGATCTTAGAAGTTCTTCCTCAGCCATGGCATTGCCTGTATATACAAAGGCTGTTGATTTTTGTGCATTGATTTTATACCCTGCTACTTTGCCAAAATCTTCTATGAGTTCCAATAGTCTCTTAGTAGAGTTCTTTGGGTCCCCTAAGTAAAGAATCATATCATCTGCAAAGAGGGATAGTTTGAGTTCTTCCTTCCCAATTTGTATCCCTTTAATTTCTTTTTCTTACCTAATAGCTCTGGCTAGAACTTCCAGATCTATATTGAATAGCAGTGGTGAGAGTGGGCCTCCCTGTCTGGTACCAGATCTCAGTGGAAATGCTTCCAACCTTTCCCCATTCAATAGGATGTTGGCCGTGGGTTTTTCATAGATTGCTTTGATTGTATTGAGGAATGTTCCTTCCATACCCAGTGCTTAGAGTTTTCATCATTCTTCTAAGATTAATTATTAAACTTGGCAAGGATTTGTACATTCCAAACAAAATACAGTTGAAAAATCATTTAACATGGCATAAAAAACATGAAATACTTAGGAATATTACGAAATTATGGATGATATCTATGCTGAAAATAAGCAATAATGAAAGACAATCCAAATCAATAGAAAAAATATGCCTTGGTAAGGATATCAATAAGATGTCAATTCCTTCGAAATTCATCTATGTATTAAGTGCACCCCACATCTCAGTATCTGGGTTTGAGATGCTCTTTCTTCACTCCAGATTACAGTTAGCTAGTAAGGTGCACCCTGGAGGCAGCAGATGATGGCTTAAGTAGTTGGAAGCTGAACCTACTTGGGAGAACAGGATTGAGTTTCCTGTTTCTGGCTTCAGCCTGTGCCAGCCCCTACTGTTGCAGGTGGGAGTATGGGAGGGAGGGAGGGTGAGGGGGAAGTATCACTATGTTCTTAAACCTGTATATATGGAATACATGAAGTTTGTATAACTTAAATACATTTTTAAAAATCAGTGAATTAGAGCTCTGTTTCCTTGTCTTCTCCCTCCCGCCTCTGAAATAAATTAATATTTTTATTTTTATTTATTTTTATGAGACTTAAGACCTTATTCTAGGAATTTTTTTTTAAAAGCCATATGTTGTCATACTATGTAAAGAAATGTGGAGGCAAACACATAAGACTCTTGTTGATTGATGAGAATGGTGAATTCTCCTCTTTCAACCCGTACATTCCTTAAGAAAATAAAAAATGAAACTGAACTCATCAAAATTCACATGATCTCTGTTTGCTTTAGGTTGATCTTGAAGGTTAAACAGCAAGAGGCATGGCGAATTTATTAGTGATCTAGAGTGTTCAAACAGCTCAAAACTCACTAAATCAGCTTCAAAGATTTATTCATGTGCTCTGTGGGCCCCTGGAACTTTCATTCAAACATGAGGAACAAAGCCAATATTAAAGTGATTTTGAAACTAATCTGAGCCTGAATTTATCTTCTTTCAAACCACATTTAAAATATCTAAGCAATAAATTCAGAAAACTTTTAAAGTCATTTTAGAGGAGTTTTTTTGGTGGTGGTATCCATATGTGTTATGCTAGACCTGCAATCTACTGCTATGTTAGTGTCTCAGGAACAGTTTATTTATGTCTACTTAGTTGGGCATCTGTCCCTGAATTGTGAACCCTCTATCCCGAGGCCACTGTTTACCGGAGGCAAGTTTTCTAATTATATATTACTTTAATATCTGTCCTGTACCTATGTTTTACAAACTAGACTGGAAACATTGTTTTGAATTTGATTGGAAGTTGTGTCTTGAGAATATGGAACGTTGCATTGTAGAAAATTCAGTATAATTTGAATAATTGAAGGCACTGTTATGAACCATCAGCTAAATCAGCCAAATCAGTTCTCTTCTGCATTATGAAGTAAATAGCCCAGTCCTGGATACACTAACTAATCCCTGGCTCAGTATCTGTTTTCATACCTAGTCTCCACTCAGGATCATTCAGAGTGGAAACACTAAAGTTAATTCATTTGTCAACACTCATAAACTTATAAAAATGATTAAGAACATGTCTATTAAATCAATCTGATCCATACATGTTTTAAAGTGATGAAGCAGCTCTCTGCTGTGGCCAGGGAGTGCAGTGGAGGATGGCCCAAGTACTTGGGCCCTGCACCCCATGGGAGACCAGGATAAGCACCTGGCTCCTGCCATCGGATCAGCGCGGTGCGCCGGCCGCAGAGCACTGGCTGCGGTGGCCATTGGAGAGTGAACCAACGGCAAAGGAAGACCTTTCTCTCTGTCTCTCTCTCTCACTGTTCACTCTGCCTGTCAAAAAAATAAATAAATAAAGATTAAAAAATAAAGTGATGAAGATAGCAATGAGAGGTCATTTTCTGCTTAGATTTCAGTTGCTTGGTAAAATTTCAAACAGTGTTCATCAGGGTCAAGAACAGGGAAATCGAGTGGATTCTATTCTCTCCACCCTTCTGATTTTCATCTGCTCACTGAGGAATAAAGGAAAGAAGGTAATCAAATCAACAAAGCACTTCAAATAAGTAACCTACCAACTGGATCATTGAAGCAGATTTGCCTCTGCCTGACTGGTCACTTAATTCGGAGTTAAGTGTAACATGATGGGAATGTCCCACGTGCCCATTAACTGGTGACAGGCCCTGCTGGATGAAGATAATTTAAAATTAATGTGGAATCCAGAAGAACACAGATGTACATTTTGTTAATTCCATGGCTCTATTTACCATTTTGCTTACTGGCCAAAGTAATGGATGGCACAAAAATAGTGGGGAGAACATTTCTTCTTCATGTTTTCAAAAGATTTATTGATTTTATTTGAAAGGTTAAGTTAGCGAGAGATCTTCTATATGCTGGTTGACTCCCCGACATGGATGCAATGGCCAGGACTGGGCTAAGCCAAAGCCAGGAACCTGAAACTCCATCTGGATCTCCCACGTGGGCGACAAAGGTCCAAGCACTTGGGCCATCTTCTGCTGCAGGGAACTGGAGCAGAAGTGGAGCAGCTGAGACTCAAACAGGTGCTCATATGGGATGCCGTTGGCTTCTTCCTGCTGTGCCACAGCACTGGCCCCACGGGGAAATTTCATAAATACTCGCTAAAAATGTCTCCCCTTGAAGAAGCACAAGCCTGCCCTGAAACATTATACATGTTCAGAATGATTTAAGACTGCAGCATTAGAGGCCCGCGTTGTGGCACAGGGGCTTAAGCCACAGTTCTGCAATGCAGTTGTTCCATATTGGAGCACTGATTAGAGTCCTTACTGTTCTGCTTCTGATCCAGCTCCCTGATGATGCAGCTGTGTAGGCAGTGATGATGCTTGGTCCAAATATTTGAATCTCCAGGCGCCCAGCTTTGGCGTGGACCAGTCCCAGCCATCATGACCATTTGGGGAGTGAACCAGCAGGTGAAATATCTCTCCTTCTCTATGTCACATTGCTTTACAAATAAATGATAAATCTTTTTAATGCAACTTCAAAAAGATCTACTTATGATTCAAAGAGGCTGGAACAGTGGGAGTTTTATATTGTCTTTTTTATTTATTAAAAGATTGTATTTTTTAAAAAGATTCTATTTATAAAAAAGTTAAATTTTTAGTTCTTTCCCATGGAGATAACAGAATGATCATCAAACTGGTATTATACCCCGAGAACACAAAAATAATATTTCCAGAAATGTATTCATCAATTAAAACATATTTCTCATACATTTTCATTTTTTTATTTTACTCAGTGTCATAGATCTTGAAACTAGTTTCTTAAAACTCATTTCAAATTCCCTAACAAGCCCAGAGACAATCTAAATAAATTATGTTTTTGGGTGCTCAGAATTATTTCCACTCGCTTTCATCTGGGTTAGCTTTCTGACTTTTATGTATAAATTGATATGCTAGTGTTGTAAGTTAGTCCCCCAGGCTAAGAATGCTAATCTTCTGTGTATAAATGGAGATGTATTGTGGTTTTTTAATGTTTCCTGAGGTTAAAACTCCTTTTGTGGAGGTTCCCCAATTTTTAGGGTAGCTGTGAGGGAATCTGGAATTCCCAAGTTCCCATAGCAACCTAGTTTGAACCTCAGGCAAAAGAAATACTCTGTTTCATTAAATGAGAGAGAGAGCGAGCGAGCGAGAAAGTGAGAGAGAACGAGAGCAAGTGAGAGAGTGAACATTTTACAAGGTATTATTTGAAATCTATTTGCAATCTTAACCCATCTATTTTTGAGAAGTTGCAAGCATACAGAAAAGCACAGAGATTGTTATGTGAATGTTCAGGCCCTCCCTTCCTAGATCCAACCATTAATTAGCATTTTTTACTCTCCCTGGTTTTATCGTATTTCTCTCTCTCTCTATCCATCCATAATTCATCTTATGTTTTGATGCATATAATCGAATTTTGAACAAATTTAAGAATTACAATAAACAGCAGGTGTCATATTTTTAAAAGGTTTCTAATGTTTGCCTAGGGGTTAGGCTTTGTCTTTGGCTTGCCTGTTACATGAATAGTTCAAGTGCATGGGAATAAGCAGAAAACCACAGAGGACTGCAGAGCCCCAGGTCTTGGCCAGGACACTTTGCTTTGTTATCATTTTCTGGAGTCTACTGCAAACATTTACCTTTTCTAACCATCCCACTAAACAGGTGAAACTATTTTTATTTTATAGAAACATATCAGAGCAAAAAAGAAAGAACCCATAAACAAACCACACTGCTTTTTACATGTTAACATCCAGATAGATACCCCTTAAGGCATTTGGAACTGCCTGAAAAGCCCAAGAGAGCATTTCAGGCATGGAAAGCCAAGACACTGTGACAAAAAATAACCTACATGAAGGATCTCTGTGAGTGAGACCCCAGTGGAAAGAAGGGGCTATCAAAGAAGGATGTACTTTTCTGTGAAGGTAGTAGAGAACTTCCACTTTGCATATGGCCCTAAGTACCAACGGAGTTCGGGGACTCAAAAGGCTTCCATAGCCTAGGCAGCTCATGTCAAGAGCCTCGGGTGGTCACTGACATCAAAAATAAGAGTGTTAACTGTTAAATCAACCACAGGAGTCACTGTGCACTTACTCCCTCATGGTGGACCTCTATCCTTAATGAGTTGTACTATGAGAATTAATGGTAAAACTTGCTTCAAACAGTACTTTAGTATACTTTGTGGGTCTGTGTGGGTATAAACAGTGGAAATCTCTACTTAGTATAGAGTTGGTCTTCTGTATATAAAGCAAATTAAAAATGAATCTTAATGAAAAATGGAATGGGAGAGAGAGAGTAGGAGGTGGGATAGGAGTGAGGGTGGGAGGGCGGGAATGGACAGAAGAAACACTATATTCCTAAAAGCTATACATATGAAATTTGTAATCATTAAATAAAAACCTTAAAAAATTTAACAAATTAAAAAAATCCAGGTAGAAGTTTGTTAAATTATTCAAGCCAAAAAAGAGCTGCTACAAATCAGGTTCATAAGTTTCTCGTTTTTGAGATTTTAAATGCCTGTAATCTAGAAAATGTCAGGAAATGTGAATTTTCAAAGTTTTCTTTTGCTTGCTTTTTGGCATTGGGTTAGAAAAGACATTCAAAATGCTGATTAGTAGCCAGGACAATGGACCCCTTTTTCCTCCAGATAAGAAAGAATGTGTTTCTGAGCTAATCAGAAGAAATTGAGGGCTTTAACAAGCACATTAACTAGCCAGCATAACATGTTTTTAAAAACTTAAAAAAACAATACTTACCCAGAACTTGCTAGGCAGAGTGATCTGCAGGTCCTGAAGTCAGAGCTCTTCCCCTTTCACAGATAGGTTTATTACTGTACCATCGCTTTTGAACAAGTACTTTTGAAATTAAAAAGGAACATTATAAAACCCAGAAGTCAAAGATAAGAAAGACTTAAAATATACCTTGGCATTTGGTGATACAAGAAGAATAAAACATTTCTCTATCAAGAAAAATCCATGGATGCCTCCAATTAATCCCAACAGTTTCCAAATATGACCTTTGCTTTCATGGACATGTCCAAACCCTGGGGCTTCCTGCTTATGTAAACCAAGAACCTTCAAAAAAGATGAAAGAAGGAAGGAAATTACTTAAAAAAAATTTATTTATCTATTGGAAAGAGTCGCAAAGAGGGAGGGAGAGACAAAGAAAGATCTTCTATCTGCTGGTTCACTCCCCAGATGACAGCAATGGCTAGGCCTGTGCCAGGCCGGAGCCAGGAGTTTCTTCCAGCCGACCCACATGGGTGGCAGGGTCCAAGAATTTAGGCCATCTTCCATTGCTTTTCCCAGGCCATGGCGGGGGGCGGGGGGGAGTGGAGCAGCCAGGACAGGAGTTGGTGCCCATGTGGAATACACACATTGCAGGTGACAGCTTTACCTGCTACGCTACAATGCCAACCCCGGGAAATTATTTTTGATGACTTAAGTATAAAATAGTAGGCTGAGTATTGAATATATGATGAACTGAAATCATTCCAATCCTAGTTTGCTTTTAGGTATCAGTATTCCTACTGTGTGGTTTAATCAGGATCAAATGAAATGTATCCTCTAGAAAATAAAGGAGAGCCTTAAATGGCTTGTGTTAATGAATAGAATGAAGCCTAAGATTTATTTTAGGCAGTAGCCTTCCTTTTCAAACATTCTCAATCCTTTGGCTAATTTTTTTCACAGGAGTTCAATTCTTATCTGATTGTATAGTAACGCTTCATATTATATTTATATATATATAAATACAAATACAAATATATATATATATATCCAGAACATATTTAAGGATATCTTTCATATATCCTTATTTATATACATATATAAATCTAGAACACATATAAGAATATATTTCATCTGGGTTTATTTTCCCATGCCCCATTGCAATTAAAGTAAAATATTCAGATAAGAAAGTCACCTAGCAGATTTTTCCCATTGAATGCATACTGTGTGATGAGCAATATAATAAGCTCTCTGGGACACAAAAAGATACAAAAAATGCACTGGGAATTTTCTTCTATTTTACTCATCACATTGATTCACCTAATGATTTCTTGTGAGCTACTAATTCATTTTATATCAGAAGCCTTACCCAAGATAAGGCAGTTTGTGAAAGAGGTCAGTGCTTTCCAGATTTAAAATAGTACTACTGAACACTAAATTTTAAAAAAGAAAAGAAACTATGTCTATGAATTGTATGTACATATGATCCTGCAAATGTATATATGACTCCAGCACTTAATATGGTACTTTTAGAAGTTCATGGAAAATGGAATTAAATGTTTATTTTGGCACGCAAGGTTTTGCAAGCCATCATATGATGAGTCTTCAAAAAGTTCATGAAAATGTATATTATGAAAAAAAACTGCATGGATGTTAAACATTTTTGCACCAAAATATACTTATTTTTAATTCCATTTTCTGTGAACTTTCTGAAATACCTTGGTCTCTGCACATGTGTGTATGTGTGTACATGTATGTTCACTTTTTTAAAAAAAGATTTTATTATTTATTTGAAAGGCAGATTTAGAGAGAGGGAGGGAGGGAGGGAGGGGGAGAGAGAGAGAGAGGAGAGAGAGATTTTCCATCCTCTGGCTCACTCCCCAAATGGCCTCAATGACCAGGCTGAAGCCAGGAGCTGGGAGCTTCTTCCGGGTCTCCCACACAGGTGCAAGGGACTCCAGGACTTGGTCCATCATCTACTGCTTTCCCAGATACATTAGCAGGGAGCTGGCTTGGACAAGGAACAGCCAGTATTCGAACCAGTGCCCAAATGAGATGTCAGCACTGCGCTTTAACCTGCCGCACCACACTGGGTTAACAGTGCACCTGTTTCTTTTGATAAGGACATTAAAAGATACCCAGCTAATATTTATCATTTCCATTATTTCACAGGAGAATGCTATAATATAACAAAACAAAACCTGCAATCCCAAAATAAGATATGTATCTTTAGGTTAAAAAAACTCAACTCATTAAGAAAAGAAATCATGACAATAACATTTTCCTCATTTCTACGCAAACCTTGGAAATCTCGCCATGGGTTACTTTCAAGAGCCACTGATTTTTCTAGCTTGTCATCATACTTGTGCTTTTTAGTAACATCGGTCCTCATCTTTCCCTGAGCAAAAAGCTGCCTTCTAAATTTCATGAAACCAAGCTAATCTTTGAAGTTCACCTCTGTAACATGCACCACCCACCCCCAAGGCCCACCCTCACCCTCACCCTCACCCTCACCACCCGGCCCTGGCTGTGTGCTCCCTCTCTGGCAGCCTCGCCGTCCCTTTGCTGATCCCAGGACCCTGGGCAGGAAACAGCTCTGCAACCATCACCATGACCTAGCACAGGGCCCTGGCCATCGTCCCAAGCCAGCAATAAGCCCCGAAATATTTCCAGAAGATTAGATTATGAGGGAAATTAAAACTAATAATGGTTTGCTGTGTTTCTCCAATGCTCACTCTGCCTTTTTCGGAACATTGAATAATTACTGAGCATCTAAGCAACGAGAGTGACCCTGGCAGAAACTGCCAGAGGCTTATGGAAAATTTTAACATCTCAGGCTTTGCAAGCTGTGTGTCAGGGGTAGGGAGGTGGGGCGGATATCCTGGGTCTCTTGTCCTTATCCATTGTCAGCGATTTCAGGGGGAACACATAACGTCATCCACAAAGCCTTCTGCCCCAACTCTCACATCGCACGTCTTAGACCTGTCATTCCTGACAAACAGCAAGCCTCCCCGTGCTTCTCTCCATTTTTCTTAGGGGAAATCTAGACAGCATTAGTTAGCAAAAAAGAGAAATGCATCCGGATAGCTCCAAAGCAGAGGCATTGGTGATGGAACCGCTGTGGAGGTGGCAGAGTCAAGGGTGAGAACAAGCGAAAATGGGGCCCCCGGCACCCAACAAGCCCCAATCACTACCACCCTCAGGGCCGAAGGGCAGAGGGAGGAAATGACATCAGGGAGGGGTGAGCTGGTCACAGCCCCGCAGCTACTTCTAGACCAGATGCCGAGCCAGGGCAGACAGTTCCCGGCCTCTGCTCCTCCTGTGCTGGGTTTCCCACTGTGCCGCACATTGAGTGAACGCAAACAGCCAGCCTGCAAGGGAGCGGAGGGGACAGAACATTCTGGAACAGAAGAGGCAGCAGAGAAAGACAAAGAATGATCTGAGCAGGGTTGGGAGGAGACAAAGCTAAAAACAAAACTAGCACAATGTCTTTTCAGCTTATACTTTTCCATTTGTAGATGATTCTTACATATGCTTCTGGAATCTTTATTAACAGCAATCTGGATCCGATCCCCTGTCTTTTTCATTACTATTTCAACACTAGAAGAAATGAGTGGCAAAACCTAGTGTTTGGTCATCTCCTCTCCTACAAGGGCAGAAGTTTGGGGAAATAATAGTTCTTTCCAGAGACAACACCGGCCATCCCATTCCTCATTCCTCATTCAAGTTGCTGTAAAACTTTGCGCAGGTACCTGCAGTGGTTGAACATCAAGAGAATTCAGACAGCTCCATCTGCAATGGAAAAGAGATTACCTGAGGGATAAGGTGCAGCAGGGCATCCCCAGAGAGCGTCCCAACGGCCAAGCCCACAAAGAGCTGTAACACGAGGCTGTAGTTTTCCTCACAGCCATGGAAAAGGACCAGCGCCGTCCCCAGCATGGAGCCCAGCGTGAGAAGCGCCACCGCGACGGTGCTGTAGCCGTATTCTAAGTCAAAGGAGACCCCAAAGCCGTCAGTGCCACACGTTCTCCTCCGTTCTTGCCTTCAGTAGAGAAAATGCTAGAACAATCTGTCTTATGCTAACAGCTGGTGGTGTTATATGGAGTCAAGGGTTTCAGATTTGGGGAAAAGAATGAACAGATATGCTGTGGTCTGAATGTTTGTGACCCCGCTAGTACCCCCACCCTCCTGTGTTGAAGCCTCAGCCTCAAGGTGATCTTAGGAGGCGTGGCCCTTGGGAGGTGACTGGCTGAGAAGGGCCTGGTGGACGGGATTAGCGACCTTGGAAGGGGCCAAACAGATCAGAGCTCACCACCTCTACCCACTGAAAACACGGTGAGAAGGTACCACTCTGGGGGCCAGGACGTTGGTCTTCACCAGGGTTCATGAACTTGGACTTCCAGACCCCAGAACTGTGAGAAATGCCTTTGTTATTATCTAAGGCAGTTTAGATATTTTGTTAAAGAAAAAGACAGGACTGTAACCAAATAACACTACTGATCTGAAGTTGCCCTGGCTACCCACCCTGTACTAAAAAATCACTGTGGCAAGCAAGACCCTAGCTTACTTCCCAGCACACTGAAAGAAATTCCTACTTGAAGGGCCACAGCATCCAGTGACAAGCAGTAGTAATCACATTTAGTTAAAGCTTTGAGAGCAGTGTTAGAGGCAGCAGGTGGTCTGGCCTTGCTGCAGACCAATGTTTGTATACAGAACAAGTATACACTTTGGAAGAATGCCTTCAAAAGGTTCTCAGAGCTATTTGTAATGTCAGGAGTGCTTATTGGCTTCAGTGACAAAAAATAAGTGATTTTATTGGTGAAAACTGGTCAATTAATATGTAATAGCTGATGATATAAATTTGAACAGTCTACATTTTAGATTGTTTGCAATAATTTCCACAAGCCTTTTTTCAAGCTATGAGCATTTATCCAAACTTTTTAGGCTTCCAGGTAGTAGAATTTTTACTATGCAGAAAGTATAACCTTCAAGATTATTCAAATAAAAGGAAATATATGGGGGGAAAAGAGGTCAAGGAAGAGAACAGATGAAGAGCTAATAACTTTCAGAGACAAATGTCAATGACACAGGGCTTTAAGGTTCTTCCTGCTCCCACTTTCATATGGTTGCAGATGCCTGGCTTTCCATCTATTCAGAAATGACTAGCAAGCCATTGCAAATGGCGTATACACAGTGAGGGAAAATAATTACAACATTTAAGCATCATTTTCTTTAGGGACCATATAAATGCCTTTTCTTTTTTAACATTTTTTATTTTTTGAGGAATTTGTTAATAATTAGATTCTCAGGGTCACAGCAAATGCATCAGTAATTCAGTTATTCTAATATTTAAAACTTATTGAAGTTTCTTAAAAAACTATACCCTTAAACTTGTAATAGTAGAAAAATCTTCCTTTCTCATCATCCTTGTATTTTTCTAGCATGTTTGCCATTTATATTAGATCATTTTAAATGTAGAGCTAGTTACATACTAAGTAGCTTATGATTTTTAAGAGGATCTTTGTTAATTATAAGTTCTAAATTATAAAGGGGTCTAATATTAAAATACTGTACCCAGAAGAGGCAAAAAAAAAAAACTTTCAAGTTTCTATTCTTCCTGCCACCACACACCCTGTCAACACTACAGAACTTCTATAACATAGAGTGAGGGGGAAATGGAGAGTCTTTTTTTAAAAATTTATTGATTGATTTATTCAAAAGGCAATGAGAAGGAGGTCTTTCATCCCAGGGGATTCACTCCCCAAATGGCCATGACAGCAAGCACTGAGCCAGGCCAAAACCAGGAAGCAGAAACTCCATTCTGGTCTCCCAACATGGGCAGCATGGGTCCAAGTATGTGGGCCACCTTCCACTACCTTCCCAAGCACATCGGCCACGAGGACTCGAACGGGCACCTGTCATGGGATGTAGACGTCACAGGCGGTGGCTTAACCCACTGCCCCACAACACTGGTGCTAAGAGTCTTTTTCAGCAGAGACTATCAGTTTAACAAAAAAGAAACACTCTAGAGGTCCAGCACACAACAATGTGAATACACTTCCCATCTCTGTAAAAATGAAAACTGTACAAATACAAATGGTTAAAATGGTAAGTTTCATATTGTATATTTTACAACATAAAATTTTAAAATATTTAAAAAATAGGTTTGAATAGTCATGTCAGCATAGAGATTTTTTTCACTTTAATTTAGTAAAAATACACATGGTATGAAGACATCCCTAAAGATCTTCAACCTGGTTTTGCATCTCACTCCTTCCTAAATATATTATATGTGGGATTGGCATTCATCTCAGCTAATTCATGGATTAAAGATATTTAAATTTTAACATGGCTACCTGGATGTCTAATAAAGGCAAAACCATCATCTGTTTTTATGGTGGTTACAAAAGAAACCATAAAATGTCAAGAACTCACTGGGAAGGCCTGGCATTTTGGCACTCTGGGTTAAGCCAACAATTGCATCTCATGCTGGAGAGCTGGCTTGGGTCCCAGCCACTCCACTTCTGATCCAGCTCCCAGCTAATGTGCCTGGGAAAACAGCAGAAGATGATCCAAGAACTTGGGTCCCTACCATCCATATGGGAGACACACATTGGAGTTCTAGGTTCGGGCTTCAGACTGACCCAGTTCTGGCTTTTGCTGCCATTTGAGGAGTGTACTAGTGATGGAAAATCTTTTTCTCCTGTCTCTTGTCCCATCGCTCTGTCACTCTTTCAAATAAATAAATCTTAAAACAAAACACCTTACAAGGACACATCAAGGTATGGCATTTCCTAGGCAAAAGGCAAAGTTTCAAATTCAATTCTTTGACTCTTCCCTACTTTGTCCTATGGGCAGCTACAGTGTGATATTGATTCATAACTTCGGCGTAATAAAACCTCTTAAGATCTGGAGTCAGATTTCAGCTCCCCTCGTGTGGGAGGGACAGCCTGAAAACCATAACATCTGACTCCTATGTCTATCAAGCTCTTCTAATTGAGCCTAATTCCTATACAGGCGCCGTGGTGTCTTGATTGGAGCCAAGGAACTTGCATAGAAGTGCTATCTAAACATTCCCTATCATTTCAATAGAGCTTGACCTAACCACTACGTTCCTAGGCACTTCTGAGCATCTCCCTTGAGTAGCTCTGAAACCTGATTCATACATCACCATAATAATCTTTCCTGGAAACTCAATGGAAGGTGGCGCTAAGGAGTTGAGTTTTCAGCATACTGAATAGTATTTTCTGGGTGTGTCTGTTCCTCTCCTCCTTTATGCAACATCTTACACTTTTGCAATTTCAAAAGGCCAAAAAAGCCTTTCCTTTTAATTTACATAATGCAACATTTTAAATAAGAGCAATGTTTGTCTAGGTTCTTCAGTGAGTGTGATCTGTTTGGGATTTTTGTTTTGTTTTTTTCAAGTGGACATTGCTTAGAAGGGTACAGAAGTTCTTTAGAAAAGAAACTGGAGTAAGAGTTTAGCCTAATGGTTAAACACGAGTCCTAGTTTGGAATACCTGGGCGCAATTCTTGGCTCTGGCTCTGGACTCCAGCTTCTTCTAATACAGACCCTGGGAAGCTGTGGTGATGGCTCAAGTCACTGGGCTCCTGCCACCCACTTGGGAGATGTGGTTGGCAGTACTGGTTCCTGGCTTTACCCCAACCCAATGCCTAGCCATTGCAGGTATTTGAAGAGTAACCAGCAGATGGACTCTCTCCCAATAACTGTCCCTCTCAAAATGAAGAAAGAAAGGGTGGGGGGCAGGGCGGGGAGAGACAGACAGACACCAGTAAAACTATGTTCATAGATGATAAGCTCCCAAAGCCTTTCTCCAGGGGCCTGTATCTGCCAGGCACCACGCCAGGGGCAGAACATAAACATGCCCGTGGAAGCTCGGACGTATCAGATCTTCACCCGTTTTGTGAGTTTCTGTGACTATCAGGTGCTAAGTTATTTAGCTGCTCCCTGTTAATGGAACTTGTTTCTTCTCATTGAATGTGGACTCCTAGATATTTATGCCTGGCATGTTTTGTTCATATGAAGTCTTCCAATGAGCCCCATGAAGCTGCAGAATCCACTGTGTCTGAGAGGTCACCACTCAGCTCTGATGGGCATCCCAGGCTCTCAAGGAAAAAGAAACGCAGCTTTGACAAAGTCTTTACAGAAGGCCCTCAGATCACCAGTAATGTCTCAGGTACTGTATGGGTTCATTGTCACATTCACTATGCGCCATGGATGATATTGGGCCATATTTTCATGTCTTCTAAATATTGAGTGCTTTAAATTTCCTGAACACATTTTTGCACTCATTACCCCATTTGAGCCTCACGGGTAACCTCATCTACTGCAATGACTCAGTGGCGTACAGGGATGCAAGTACTAATCCCTGCCCTTCCTGGGGATGCCAGCCGTGTCTGGGAGGTTGGTTGTCTCTGACCCAAAGCAGCCAGTGCCTTCATTTACCCTGGGTGCCATGCTGTATGAAAGGCTGGGAAACCCTGTAGAACATCAGGTCTTTCTGTTGTGCAGAGAAACACAGGAGCCCAAGAAGTAAAAGAGTTGACATAAGACCACTGAGTGGCTAGAGACAGATGACTTGACTCAGTTCTGCCTTTCAGATTCCAGTGCTAACGCAATCTTTCTCTGATCCCATGCTATTTCTCCACTGGACATTTAAGTTGGTCCATGATTGAGTCAAACATCAGGGTCAACATCAATTTATATTTAGTTGCATACAAAATATAAAATCTTCATTGAAAAGTAGTATAGCATAGTGGTCAGAAAAGACTCTTGGACCAGCTGCCTGAGTTTGAATCCTAGCTCCATCCTACCATCTGTGTGTTATTGAGGGAGTCACTTAACATCTCTGCAATTTTCTTTATCTGTAAGTTGGAGACAGTAATGGTATCCAGCTCATAGCCCTGCTGGTGGGAGGATTAAATGCACTGATCAATGTAAAATGCTTAGCTCAGTGCCCAGTACATAGTAAAGAATCCTGCCTTCACAGTATTGCATCCATTGTGCACATCAGCTTTTTGAGTGAAGAACCAGAACTTACTCTCCAGAGTACTGGGTGGCAGATTTGTTGGCTGGTCCTTGGGTGGTTGGCAAGAGCAGCTGAGCAGTTGCTGGATGATTCCTGGGCTCATCTGCATAAAGTCCTCCTTAGAAATGGGTGAAAGGCTGTCCTGTAGAAATACTTCCACCAGCTGCTTAGCAGAGAAGCAAGTCTGTACAGGGAAAACACGCATGGTGACTACCCTTCGCACCAACCCAGCTCCACCAGCAGCTACTTTCCTTGGGGAGGCAGAATGCTGCAGACCAGTGACAGTGGGCACACGAAGCCTTCACAGGGCCTGTGTCCCTGCAACCATTTGTCCAATAGCCTTTCATTAATTTCCAAGGATTATTTAAATCTCTAATCAAAGTCTGCTGATGTCACTTTCATTCTTAGAATTACTTAGTATGAGGCTCAGATGCTTGTTCTTTCCTGAAAAGTCACTGTGTTTTGTAAGATATCAAATGGGGTGGTAGCCAACAGCTGGAGGAAGCCTTATTGTCTTTGTTGTTTTTAACCAGGGAAGCTTTGTGTCATCAAAGCTACGACTCCATATGATGCACAGGAGCTCTGTGGGAATGAGAGCATTTTCATTATTTCTCTTTTAATAAGCCTGCATAGGCAACATGTATTGTCAAAAGTAATGCATTTAAAACCTGTAAAAGTGAATACTGGGCCGGTGCCGCGGCTCAATAGGCTAATCCTCCGCCTGCGGCACCGGCACACCAGGTTCTAGTCCCGGTCGGGGCGCTGGATTCTGTCCCGGTTGCCCTTCTTCCAGGCCAGCTCTCTGCTGTGGCCCGGGAGTGCAGTGGAGGATGGCCCAAGTACTTGGGCCCTGCACCCCATGGGAGACCAGGATAAGTACCTGGCTCCCGGCTTCGGATCAGCGCGGTGCGCCGGCTGCAGCATGCTGGCCATTGGAGGGTGAACCAACGGCAAAGGAAGACCTTTCTCTCTGTCTCTCTCTCTCTCTCACTGTCCACTCTGCCTGTCAAAAAAAAAAAAAAAAATGTAACTACTGTGTCAAGTAGCTGAGTGTAAACACCCAGTGACATCACTACTTTTGTCAACTGACATCATCCCTTCACAAAAACATCTAAAATCATTATTTCCTACTTTACTAATTTTTGCCGCAATGTTTTCCAATTTTTAAAGATTGTATAGGTACATTGATAAGAGAGAATTATAAATACCAAGTCCAACAGGTTTCACTACCACAAATGGATGTCTTCTATTGAAATAAGACACCAAAGTAATGTCTTTATGATCTTTAATAGCAATCAATAAGGTTTTTGAAAAAATCAGTGATGTACAGGCTGGTCTGATTTGTGATGCTTTAGGCTGTAGGGATTTCAACAAAGGTGCATCACTTATCAGAAATAATGAGGACACATTTGCCTCCCCCTCCCCCACTACCTTCTCTAGGGACTGAAGGAACTGCAACTCAAAGCTGCAAAATCAGAACCAAAGATAAATTCATTCTCTCTTTTTCTCTCCCTCTCTACCTACCTCTTTATCTCTCCCTTGCCCTGGGGCTAGGACTTTCTCTTTCTGTCTCCCTGTGTATGTATCTATATCCTTTCACAGTTTGGCCCTATCTCATTTATTTTTTCTTTTTTTCTTTTTTTTTTTTTTTTCTTTTTGACAGGCAGAGTTAGACACTGAGAGAGAGACAGAGAAAAAGGTCTACCTTCCGTTGGTTCACCCCCCAAATGGTCACTACAGCCAGCGCGCTGCGCTGATCCAAAGCCAGGAGCCAGGTGCTTCCTCCTGGTCTTTCATGCGGGTGCAGGGCCCAAGCTCCTGGGCCATCCTCCACTGCCCTCTGGGGCCACAGCAGAGAGCTGGGCTGGAAGAGGAACAACTGAGACAGAATCCGGCGCCCAAACCAGGACTAGAACCCGGGGTGCTGGTGCCGCAGGCTGAGGATTAGCCTAGTGAGCCACGGTGCCGGCCCTGGCCCTATCTCATTTCAAAACCACACGGCCTTAGAAGCTTCAACTCTCAAGGGATTTTTTCAGTCCAAGAACTCAAGAGTGGACTGACTCTGCAAGTCCCGAGAGAGATCTGACCGATTCAACAAAGCCAAAGATGGGCTCTTTGGGGTCAGGCGTTCACCCACAGGACTAGCCCTGCCCATGTGGTGGGAAGTGGGATTATGCTGTTCAAACCCAGCTGCGCCCTGGCCTTTCCAGGTGAGGGACACATTTCTCAGACAGGGATCAGACAAGAACCTCAAAATATTTCTATTACAAACAGCACCAACTAAAAGCTGGAACTTACAGGGTTTTCTCTTTATAAAATAATATACGCCAACGACAACATTCTCTTTTTTGCACCATTTGTTTCTGATGGCATTCAATCAGTTTTTCATTAAAAACACTGACAAAAATAAAGAGAAACTAGCATCAAACTTTTGATGATGAAGCTTTTACAATAAATATTCCTACCAGGAAATGCCTGACTGGATGTGAAAGACTGCAGACATAAACAAGAACAGAAAGCCATACATCTCTCCTTAGTTCATTGTCAAAAATGGAATAATTTCTAGTTTTAGAATATCTTCTCACAGGGTAAGGTTATTCTATTATAAGCTTCATTGCCCTTGATCTTTACTTGCTGTTCTTGTGTTGTTTAGGCCATTGTTTTAAGTTTCTTCTGAAATCACTACCACAAGCATCCACAGAGGCAATACGTGATAGCCTACAAATGCTTGAATATATTTTTAAGAAAGAAAATAAAAAATTTAGATTACCCAATCAATAATCTTTAAAACATCTTGACTCCTTTACACAAAACTTCAGTATACGTTTTCCTGGTGTTGATATTATCAGGCGTCTATGGAAGCTTTACAAACATATCCCGAAGCTGTGGTTCCTAACCTCTAGTTCTGAGAATCACTTGAAGGGCTTGTGAAAAACCACAGCGCTGGGTTCTGCTCTCAGGACTTGTGGTCGCGTAGATTCTGAGTGGGAGATGAGAGTTTACATTTCTAACAAGGCCCCGGGTGATGCTGATCCTGCTAGTCCAGGGAGAACACTGAGAGAGAACTGGCCTAAATCTAGAGACAGGGCCTTCAGATCTGTGACCCATGCTAGTCTCATCCAGAATCACAAAGGAAGGGGTAGATTAAGACAGAAATTACAGAAAAGATTGTGTTACTTATTTTACAGTCAGAACAGAAAAACAATTATCCCTACGTTTAAAGAAAATAACTTCCATTCTCTCTAAAAATAGGGTCCCATTAAGGTGAATGTGTTACTTTCCTGAGAATTGATCATGAAGAAGCATTTAAGATTTTGAGACTTTACAACAAAGATTAAAATCATAATCACCCTTGTGATTTTATTGGGTACAACAAGCATGAGTTGAGAGAATCAGCAAATACCTTTTATACATTGTATAAGTAACAGAAATTGACTTTTTGAATATGTAACAAAAATGTGTGATGCTGCCAAATCATGTATTCATAGTTATGAGCACAACATTCAGTATTGCTGTTTTAAGATACGGATAATATTTCCTCATTTGCAGAATAGAACAAAACAAATTAACCTTATGTTGTGTGATAACTAAATGATGTAATCAAGGTTAAATGGTACAGTGTCTGACACATAACAGTCCATAAATGTCAACCATTATCACAGAACATGGATTTCTCAGGATTTTAAAAGACGGGCAGGGAAGGATTTTCTGATCAAAGTTGGAGAAATACTGGGTTTGATAAATTTTTTTTTTTTTTTACTAACGGAACTGTCCAGATAGCTTAACATGCAACCGTGAAATATGTGTCTCCAGCATTTTCCCAACTGACTTGACCACAGCATCTCTTTTTTTAGAAGCACTGAAGCAAACTAGTGAATGTACTTTGAGGCACACTTCAGGAAATGTTAATGTATATGTCTACAGGCTCCCATATCATCTTATCTCAAAAACCTTCTCAGGGCCACCCATATAGAAATATTATTCTGGGGGTCAGTGTTGTGGCACGGCATGTTAAGCTGCTTCCTGCAATGCTAGCATCCCTTATGAGCACTGGTCCGAGTCCCAGCTGCTCTACTTCCAGTCCAGCTCTCTATTAGTATGACTGGGAAAGCGGTAGAGAATGGCCTGAGTGCCTGGGCTCCTGCCACCCACCTGGGAGAGCTGGATGGAGTTCCAGCCTCCTGGCGTTAGCCTGGCCCAGCCTGATCTTTGCAGTCATTTGAGGAGTGAACAATTAGATGGAAGCATTCTCTTTGTCTCTATCTCTCTTTGTCTCTGTCTTCATCTCTCCCTCTCTCTGTAACTCTGCCTTTCAAACAAATAATAAATCTTCAGTCCCAAGGACACTCTTCCTAATGTAATCTGAAGTTTCATTATCATTGTGATTATTTATGTGGCATCTATACCCTCTTACTACCTTGTAAGTTCCGTAGGAATTGTGCTTATTTTTGTTCAACACCACATTCCTCATGCCCAGGTAGTGACTGGTACATAGTAAATGCTCAATATTTTTTTGAATTAATTATTCATGCATTCAATATGGATCCAATAGGGGAAAGATGTTATATAACTCTTATTTTAATAAGAACCAGTTATTTTTTCTTTTATTTGAATAAGAACCAGTTACAGAAAAAGAAAACCATGACCACACTGCAGACATAAACTATTTTTACTTTTAAGCAAATACATACTACTAAGTTTCCTACAACTCCTATAGAGTATGCACAACTGGCTTCTTTGATAGTAACAAATGATGATGTAAGAAAAATAGTGGCAATACCTGATCCCAGGAAATAAGACCGTCATCTGATTCTTTGTCCATGAATGCAGATAGATTAAAGTAGCCCCACTCATGGATGGTTATATTGCTCTGTTTCCTTTGAAGTTGATGGATTTTATCCTTTTTGACACAGGTACTTTTGGTCCAGAGAATGTTGAGGAGTTGGTCTAGTTCTAGAAATTTCATATAAAATCTGGTGTCACATAAAATAGATAGGTTAAGTTCAGAATAATCACTATTTCACATGGACACAGCATAGATATTCTATAAGGCAAACTTGGTTCAAAGGAAAGCCAACATTTTTTTTCTTGAACAAGGCTATTGAGCATTTGTTAAACATGGATACTGATTTCTTCACATGATCTTGGTTAAACTTCAGGGCTGAGCCAGTTTTACACAGATATTCCCACCATATTTATGTCCTAAAAATAATAAATGTGCACTTTGAGCAATGGAAATGCATTTTATTGAGCTAAGTATTTCCCTTTTCTACATATATATAAGTTAAAGATGATCGTGACCTAATCCTTAGGAAATTTATCCTCTGAAGACTCCTTAGTAAAATGACTCATCTTAAGTAGTTAAGTCAATCAAACTGTTTTCCTCTTAAATATACATTCACAAAAGAGAAAAAAAGAAAGCAAAGGGAGCTGAAATTATAGACACAAACTTGACTTGTTTCCTGATAGTGCTGTGGTATATTTGCCACTTTGTATACTGCAGTTTAGTTTCCTTCAAAATACCTCTAAGTGTAACAATATGACTGAGACAGAGAAGTAGTCCATATACTTATCTTCTTACTTGTTAGTAAAATGTCTTTCAAATTTACCTAAATGCTATATTGCAAGCTAAAGTTTCATCTTAAAAGATGAATTTTTACCAATAATTTGTGATACTTGGAAAACAAGGAAACACATGACCCATAGTCAGGCAAAAGATCAATAAATATATCTGATTAGACCTAGATGTTGGATTTAACAAAGTCTTCAAAGCAACCATTACAAGTATATTTAAGGAACTAAAGGAAGTGATAAAGAATTATATTAAAGAATTAAAAGAAAGTATGACAAGAATAAATCAATTAATAGTACTTTTCCACACAAAAACTTAAAAATTAAAAAATTGGAGATCAAAATTATATAAAAATTTCAATGGAAATTCTGGAATTAAAGGATATAATAACTGATACAAGAAATTCAACAGATGTACCCAACATTATATTTCAGAAAGCAGAAGAAAAAAAATCACTGAACTTGGTGTTAACAGAAATAATAGATTCTGAAGAACAGAGATAAAGAACAGGTCTCAGGGAACTGTGGAGCAACAGCAAGCACATTAACATAAATGCGATGGCAGTTACAGAAAGAGAGATGAAAGAGAAAGAATCAGAAAAAATTTGCACCCTCTGACCTCAAAATTAGCCCTTAAGGCTTCCTGGTCTGGCTGAAAAGCCCATGAGAGCATTTCAAGCATGGAAAGACAAGCCACTGTGGCAAGAAGATACTCTACTGGAAGGATCTCTGTGAGTGAGATCCCAGCGGAAAGAAGGGGCCATCAGAGAAGGATGTACTTTTCTCTAAAGGGAGGAAAGAACTTCCATTTTGCTTATGGCCTTGTCTGAATACTGACGGAGTTTGTGGATTCAGAAGGCTTCCATAGCCTAGGCAGCTCATGTCAAGAGCCTCCAGTGGTCACTGATGTCATACATAAGAATGTTAACTGTTGGCCAGTGCCGTGGCTCAATAGGCTAATCCTCCGCCTGCAGCACCGGCACACCCAGTTCTAGTCCCGGTCAGGGCGCTGGAACTGTCCTGGTTGCCCCTCTTCCAGTCTAGTTCTCTGCTGTGGCCCGGGAAGGCTGTGGAGGATGGCCCAAGTCCTTGGGCCCTGCACCCCATGGGAGATCAGCACGGTGCGCTGGCCACAGCGCAGGCCGCAGCGGCCATTGGAGGGTGAACCAACAGCAAAGGAAGACCTTTCTCTCTGTCTCTCTCTCTCACTGTCCACTCTGCCTGTCAAAAAAAATAAAATAATAATGTTAACTGTTAAATTAACAACTAGAGTCACTGTGCACTAACTCCCCATGCAGGACCTCTTTTCTCAATGAGTTGTATTATGAGAGTTAACTGTGATACCTGTTCTCAAAGAGTTTGTGTGTGAGGGGGTGCAAAATGTTGAAATCTTTACTTAGTTTAGAGTTGGCCTTCTATGTACGAAGTTAACTGAAAATGAATCTTGATGGAGAATGGTACTGGGGAGGGGAGAGGAAGAAGGAGGTAGGGTGGGAATGTGGGTGGTAGGGTGAGTATGGTGGGAAGAATCACTATATTCCTAAAGTTGTATTTATGAAATTTGCACCCCTTAAAAAATAAATATTTTTTGAAAAAAGAAAAAAACTGGAGGAAATAATAGCTAAAACTTTTCTAAGTCTAATATACGACTTTAATCTACATGTTCAAGAAGCTGAAATAGTAGGATAACTACAAGAATATACACAATCTACTACATTATAGTCAGACTGCTGAAAATCAATGACGAAGATAAAATCTTGAAGAAGTAAATGACTCAGCACATATCAGGGAGCATCACTACAGTAAGTGGCTGATTTCCACCTGAACAGTGGAGGCCAGAAGGTAGTGGAATGCCATATTCAAAGAGGAAAAAAATAACCTGTCAGTGAAGAATTTTCTATCCAGCAAAACAATCTTTTAAAATGAAGGTGAAAAAAAAATCTCAGATAAACAATGAATGAGAAAATGCATGGCTAGCTGGCTAAACTTACAAGAAATACAGAATAAAGTTGTTTAGGTGGAAAGGAAATGACCTAGATTTACCCTTTGGGTAAATTTTTCATTTTGGTCCAGCCTATCAGAAGAAATAAAGAACCGTGAAAACGTTAAAAATCCAAGTTAATATGTAAGTTTTCATAAATATCTTTTTTCTCACTTATTCTCTAAGCTTACTGAGGAAATACTACAGGATTTTATTTCAAAGTCAGAAACAACATAAGGATGAAGATCATCTCCATTACTATTTAACATTGTATTGGAATTATTAAACAGTACAAGTAGGTAGGAAAACAATTAAAAATATATGAATTAGAAATAAAGAGGCAAAACCATATCTACTTAGAAAAGATATAATCATGTCTTTAAAACCCCTTAAAAATCTACAAAGCAAAAATCAACTAATTTAATCATGGAAGAGGTTATAAAATTAACCCCCCAAAATCAAAATCCTTCATATATATAAAAGCCAATTAGAAGACATAATGAAAGACCTCATTTAAGATCTTCAAAAAGAAAATTAGGGGCAAGTGTTCAACCTAGTGCTTAAGAAACTTGCATGCCATGTTGAAGTTCTAGATTCATTACCCAGCCCCAGCTCCTGACTCCAGCTTCCTGCTAAATACAAACCATGTGGGGCAATGGTGACGATGTAAGAAATTGGGTTTCAGCCACAAACGTGGGAGACCTGGATTGAATTCCCAGCTTTTGCCTTCTAGTCAAGCCAGCCCCGACTGTTGCAGCATTTAGGAAGTGAACTGGCAGGTGGAACTCTTTCTTTCTGTCTCTCAAATAAATGTAGTCAGATACCTAAACATAAAAAGAAAAACCTAAAATCTAAGTGAGGAAAATAATAAAAACATTCTACAAAAACACAGACAGGAACAAATGGAAAGACACTGTGCTTTTGGACACAAAGGTACAACATCTCATAAGTACCATTCCTCCTGAAATCATTTTAGAAATTTTAAATGCAATGACAATAAAATTACAGTTTGATAATTTTCATTAGGAAGAGCAAACAATCGGGAACATCCAGAAAAGAACAGAGAAGGCTAACTCTACGAGACATTAAAATATACCAGGAAGCCACTATTAGTCAAGCAGTATGGTGCCTGCACGTGAACATACAAGCTGGCTGACAGAATAGGAAATCCAGAATGTTCACTGCATTGAGGTGATTTTTTGGAGATGTATTTATTTGAAGGGCAGGGTTAGTTACAGAGATGGAGTTACAGAGACAGAAACAGAGCTCTTCCACCTGCTGTTTTACTACCAGCTGCAACAGCCAGGGCTGAACTCCATCTGGCTCTCCCACATGTGTGGCAGGGGCCCAGGCACATGGACAATCTTCCAATGCTTTCCCAGGAGAATTAGCAGGGAGCTGGATCAGAAATGGAGCATCCAGGACTCAAACCAGTACTCATACGGGATGCTGGTGACTCAGGCAGAATCTTAACCCACTGTGCCACAGTGCCAGCCCCTGAATTTAGAAATTGACTGTATTATATTAAAGCAGCACCTCAAATCAGTGGAGAAAATCCTGCATTTTGAATATGACATATAGGGAAATTGGAGAGTCATACACAAAACTAAACTAGACCTCAGAGTTTCCTCCTAGCCTATGTCATAATGAATCCTAAATGGACCGGAAATGAAAACAGCCAAGTACTAGAAGGAAATATGGGTGACTTCCTCTATCACCTGGGAACATGGGAATGTTTTTGAACTATGACTCAAAATCCAAAGGCAATAAAAGAACAGTTTGATTAACTGAATCATATCAAAACAAAAAATATTTGTAAAAATAATCAATTCCAGGTCTCGGCAGGAATTATGCAAAATAAGCCTGGAATATCTTGTTACATCAGAAAGTGAGAGAGATATTTTAGGGATTTTATCAAAGGAATGTAAGGCTAACATGACTATGATTCTACGGGTCAAAGCAGGGGCAATCTGCATCCCATTTGGGGTAATATTGATAACAGCTTGAGAGAGATGAAATCATAGCACATATATATATATAATTTATTTGAAAGGCAAAGTTACAGAGAGAGAGAGAGAGAGAGAGAGAAAGGTCTTCCATCCACTGGTTTACTCTCCAAATAGTTGCAATGGTTGGAGCTGAGAGGAGAGAGAGAGAGAGAGAGAGAGAGAGAGAGAGAGAGAAGAGAGAACCCCACATCCTTAGCTCCTTTGGCTGCCCCTGATGGGACCAGGAACCTGTCAGTCTACATGAAGACTTCATGTCCTCATCTGAAGCCAGGAGCCAGGAGCTTCCTCTGGGTCTCCCACGTGGGTGGCAGGGGCCCAAGGACTTGCTCCATCTTCTGCTTTCTCAGCTGCATTAGCAGGGAGCTGGATTGGAAGTGGAGCAATCAGGACTTGAACCAGTGCCCATATGGGATGCCAGCACCACAGTTGGCAGCATTACCCACCATAGCACAATGCTGTCCCCAGTACTATATAATTTTAAAGGTCATTTATATCCTTTGAAAGATGCAAGTGAACTGTGCTATAGTTTAGAAAACTAAGCTTCAATAAAATGAAATAATGATGAGTAGATGATTTTTCATTATAAAATTATTAAATTAATAAATAAAACAGAAATGAGAGAAATAGAACATCACCATTTTGTAAGCCCTAATTAATCTAGGCTATGACCATCAATAGTTTATAACTTCTCAAAAAAGAGAAAGATAGTCATGTTATATGCCCCTCAATGGGAGATGCCAACTACAAAATATAACCTCCAAAAACAACCAAAAGTTAATAGTCTAACAAACAGTACACATGGAAGGCGGCCCTTAGAAAAACGTGTTAAATGGGTTACAATGAAAGCAGTAAAATCCAGATTGTCAACAATCCCTTTTGTTTTTCTCAACAGAAAAATTTTAAGAGAAGATGGAAGAATAGGAAAGCATGAAACAATCTAATTTGCATTTGTGTACTTTATTTGAATTTTAATCTAATAAAAAAACAAAAATTTTTAAAAATCACAAAAATGTCTCTGCTGTGGACAGGGAGTGCAGTGGAGGATGGCCCAAGTACTTGGGCCCTGCACCCCATGGGAGACCAGGAGAAGTACCTGGCTCCTGTCATTGGATCAGCGCGGTGCGCCGGCCGCAGCGCACCAGCCGCAGCGGCCATTGGAGGGTGAACCAATGGCAAAGGAAGACCTTTCTCTCTGTCTCTCTCTCTCACTGTCCACTCTGCCTGTCAAAAAAAAAAAAATCACAAAAATGTGACCTGCATTTTTACTGATATTGAGTTCTTTTGTATGGTATTTGTTTAAAGGGCAGAGAGACAGAGGCAGAGATCGCCCATTTGCTGGTTCCCTCCCTAGTTGCCTGCAAAAGCTGGGGCTGGGCCAGGCCAAAGCCGGGAGCCAGGAACTCAGTCCAGGTCTTCCATATGGATGGCAGAGACTCAAGTATTTGAGCCATCAACTCCTGCCTCCTGGGGTGCACATTAGCAGGAAGCAAGAACTGGGACTGACTCAGGACTCAAACCCAGGCACGCTGATATGAGATGCAGGCATTGCAAGCAGTGTTTTCACCACTCCATCAAACATCCACCCCAGGGTCATTAATTTCTTAGTTGTGATTTGCTTTTCTAACAGAATTCATCTTGGGGTATTTGGAGGCAGATTTGAAAAATAAGTTGATCAACGTTCAAGTTATTTGTCCTGTCAAATTCAAAGAAATGTCCAAAACAAGCACTGCTGTTCCCCTTCTGACATCTCATTTTATTTCAATGCCCTAAAAGCTGGTAGTGAGGAATGCAGCAAGGAACAGACGTCTCATTATTTTTGTTTAAAATTAAGTGACTGACATGTATGATTATAAGCAAACTGCTATTAAACCTCCTGCAGTACTTGGAACAGTATTTTGTCATTCCATGCAACACTTTGCCACCTCTGGCCCAGAACTGTGTTCCAAATAGGAAAGCATTTAGTCAGTCCTCATGGCAGATCATAAAATCTCTCTCTTTAGCTCCACATCTGCTATTTCAATCACCATGGAAATGACCAGAGGTCATGTTTTTTACCTCATTCCCACGTAGACATCACAGCATGTTTGCCCCGGAAGGCCACCTGGGCAGTCCTACTACATGCTGGGAGAAAATGGTATTTAAAACATACCTGCACAAATTCAGTCCTCACACAGCTTCAGCTTCTCTTGCACCATTTATTTGGTGGATGTGTCTTGGGAGTGAAATTCATGAAAAGCATCCTTACCCGCTAGATGGAGAGTGTGTGTACTATTCAAGGAGCTGAAAATGTATTCTGTAAAATAGTCTGGGGAAGGCAAGCTTCTTCGCCCCAGACAAACACCTTGGAGGGACAGCGCGATGATCATCTCCGCCAGCTGAGGAAGTGTGTTTTCATCAGCACCATCGCTGCTTAGGATTCCAGATTCTTTCTGTAGTGTTTCCGTTTCCATACACTGAAATCGAATGTGAAGTAAAGAGAAACGTAACTTCTGAAGGTCTTTTGAGTAACACCTATCTAGGATTTCCCCCAAAAGGAATAGTTCATCTAAAAGAATATTGAATTCTTAGTGGAAATAGGGCAGCTGTCCTCCTCCTGTCTCTGAAACTCTATTTAGAAAACACTGCACTTATTTCTTTTATCTGCCATGCTATGGGATTTTTACCCACCACACTGGCCCACATTTAAAAAAAATATATTTATTTGAAAAGCGCAGTTACAGATGGGAGTCGGGGTGGGGGGAGGGAGGGAGAATATGAATGAATCTTCCACCTGCTGGTTCACTCCTCAAATGGGCCTAATAACTGGGGCTTAGCCAGGCCAAAGCCAGGAGCTTCATCTGGGTCTCCTACAAGGTGCAGGGGCCTAAGAACTTGGGCCATGTTTATCTGCTTTCTCAGGTTCATTAGCAGGGAACTGGATTGGAAGTGGAGCAGCTGGGACTTCAGCCAGGGATCATACCTGCTGCACCACAATGCCAGCCGCCCTCACAGGGCCATCAACCTTGCTCATTACCCTCTTAAAGGTGTTTTCTCCAACAGCGTCTCCTACTCTTATTGTTTACAGTCTTTCAGCTGGCAGATTCTCTCCAAACTTCAAGTATACCCTGCAGATGCATGACTATCACATTTATGTTCCCCTGTATTGACTTCCTGCTGGTTTTTTGCCTTGTATCATCACCAGGTACCTCCACTTTCACATCTCTTTTTAATCTCAAACTCCATGTGTGGGCTCGCTATGAATCAAAGCCAGCAAAGTGGCTGTGTTCTTTGAATTCCTGGGACACATTAGGACCTTCTTATGCTTGCAAAAATTTTCCTTGATTCAATTATGAGCCACTCAATGTATCTCGCCTAATATTTCCATTCATTTACTTACATACTTACTGACTGCCTACTACATGTCAAGCACTATATTAAACCCATTACATATGAACTGAAACAAAGAAGGTAGGTTCATCAATAGAGGACCCCGGGGGAGAGATTAAATATAGTTACAGCAAATGGTACACTTGGTGGTCATTAAGTCACAATATGATAGGAGGTTCTGTTGGGCTTCTAGAAGCCAGAATTGAGACCAAGAGCCAAATGAGTTTATGCACGTCAATGAATACATCAAGAAAAAATAACTAGTTTTCAGCATACTCCTCAAAGTGTGTTTATGGCTGCTCAACCATTTGAGAGAATGCAATGCACATACATTTTCTGTTCAGAAAACTATGTGCTGAAACTTCCCACTACACACCAGAAAGCAAAAACCTAACAGACAGCTTCATTTCTGCTAGCATAGCAAAGAAGGTAACAGGAGATTCAGAGCCTGCTTTCCACAAACAGGAGCAGAAAGAGATGTGAAGCCTTGAATTCACCTTGTGCACAGGTCAGAAGCCCCGAAAGTATAGCACGTTAGAAAATGCTGCAAAGTGCTGCCTCTGTGAAATGATTAATGATGAGTTCACCTCTCTCACCCCATTTCTGCCTTCTTCTACGGCCAGAAGGCAAGCAAAGAGACACACTGCCCATAACAGTTCGGGCCTTGGAGATCAATCCAAAAGCCTGAGTCACTTATTGGAGAGCTCACGGGGCTGAGAAGCGAGCTGCCCTGTCACTCTGCTGGCACGCCAACCCGATCCGGCTAAAAGTCACCGTCCAGCTCATAATCACATTTCCACTTTTGGATCCCGAATCTGAAGTCGTGGCATGAAGCCCATAACTAAATACTACCAGTAGCTAGCTCCTTTCAAAGTCCTTAGAAGGCTTAGGAATCAATAAGTGACCAAACGTCCATCTCTGTGGCTGCATCTTGGAGCATTAAGTTAGCAATTGTGCCCTTCTTACCTGGCTCCTGGAAGTGTCAAAGTACTGCCTAGTAAAAGCCAAGATATCTTCTGTCTCATTCTGCGACAGGAAAGTGGAGTCTTCGTTCTGTCTGAGGCTCAGCAGGCTGTGCAGGTAAAATGTATACTCTTTATTCCTCATGTTGAGCTTAGAAGCGCAGATCTCTTGCTGATGAATAATGTAGTAGAGCAGGAGAAGACACACTCTCTGGACTACTTCCTCTCTTAGCTCATCTTCCAAACCCCCTCCAGCGATTAGTAACAATGCATCGGGTTCAAGGCACTGAAGGAAGAAAAAAAGGCAGAAACAAAGTCTAGCAAACTGGTCCAATACACCACCAACCACACGGTCAACACTGCTTCTGTCTTATGCATAGAGGGCAAGGTAAGCAGCCCAACAACTGGATCCACCTAAGAGAGTAACAGTCAGACTTTCCTGTAACAGTGATGCTCTTCTAAGTAGCCCTTTCTTCTAGGAATGGGCCCACTGATGTAGGCAGGCAGATAGGATAAAATTGATTAGATTTGTGAGCTGGAAGACCACGCCTTCACCACACCCCTGTGTGAGTTCATGTCCCTACCTGACCACAACTGTATGCCCACCTGCCAATCAGACTAATTAACCACTCCCCTTTGGAAGTGGGCAAAAGGCCTAGAGCTCACTGGGCCCCTCCCTTATTTTCCCTCACTGCCACCCTTGTTGCCCTGAGCCTTTGGGGTGTGTGGCCTTCCGCCCGACCTCTGCCTTCACTTTGCTACCTGTGCTAAGCTGCTTGTGGCTGCTCATAACCAAGCTCTCACTGCACGTGGCTCCTGGCCTGCTCTCTGCTCCGTGTATCCCAACTTAATCCCTGGACTTCCTTCTCTCCCTCAGATAGAGCCCTCACTCTCCTATGCATTTCCCTAACCAAATTAAAAGCTTAAAAAGACTTCCCATGCTGCCTGGGTTATTTGAGTCAGTATTCAGAATTCTTCTGAATTCATGGCAAAAGCCCATACCCTTACTGATATGAGAAATATTGATAAGCACATTGGTTTCACCGCTAGGTCCAACTATAGTTGCCACAAGTTGTTCATTTGCTACTTTGCATAAAACCTGATTTTGGCTGTTACGTGATGCTCCGTTACACACAGAAGAAAATCCAGGCTTCTCACAGTTTTCTCCTTGGTCCACCCTACCTCTCTAACCTCAGTATATTTCTGCCCCTGTGATTTTCCTGTCAGTATCACAAAGCTCTTTCCCTGTCATCTTTCAAGTGTCTTTGCTGCCCTTGACTTTCTCAGATCCCAGCTTAAAGTGGCATTCTCCCTCCCTCCGCTCACCAGATGCCTTCCCAAAGACCTCCAACCCACATTCCCTAGCACAGCGAAATTTAGTGCAAGACATATAGATCTTTTAAATTTTCTTGGAGTCAGCACTGTGGTGCAGCGGGTTAACGCCCTGGCCTGAAGCACCAGCATCCCATATGGGCACTGCTCCTTTTCAATCCAGCTCCCTGCTATGGCCTGAAAAAGCAGTGGAGGATGGCCCAAGTCGTTGGACCCCTGTACCCAAGTGGAAGACCCGGAAGAAGCACCTGGCTCCTGGCTTCAGATCAGCTCAACTCTGGCCATTGCAGCCATCTGGGGAGTGAACCAGCAGATGGAAGACCTCTCTCTCTGTCTTGACCCCTTTCTGTAACCCTGTCTTTCAAATAAATAAAATAAATCTTTAAAAAATGTTTCTAGTAATCACATTTTAAAAATTAAAAGAAATAGGTGAATTAATTTCAATATTTTATTTGACCTTATATATCTACCATACATTCATTTTGACATGTATTCAAAAATTTATTGAGATACTTTCTATTCTGTCAGAAAAAGTCTTTGAAAACTAATGTGTGTTTTACACTTACTGATGTAGGCAGTGAGTATATTATTTTCCATCCTAGAATCTTTTCTCCCACAGAGATAAAAATATTAGGCAGAGACTAGTAACATGCACAAATAGGAACAGAATTTATTTAACAGTGATAGAATGAACAGAAATTCTTACACGAGTGTGGACTACCACACACAGAGAAATACCCATCATGAGTGGGCCAGTGTTGCCAATGAAAGAGAAAATGAGAGTAACATCTCTAAGCATGGTCCATGGTGAAAAAGAGAGAAAGAAGGTAGTGTATCTGAGTGGTCTACGGTGGAAAGAGACTCTTCCCCTGCTGTGTACCTCTTTTTATAAGGTAGGGGGTAGTTCTCAATCAGATATACATGTGCCCTGGTCCTGAATGTGACAAGTACATCCTGGAAAGGTGGGCATGTCAAATTGACAGTTAAAGAGACTGCATTACTTTTAGGATTACAAGAATTCCAGCTCACCTAACCTTTAACTAATGACTGGTCACACTATATCCTTACCAGCTGGATCAGCGCACAGATGCACGTGCCTAGCAGCTACTGTGTTGAACACAGTTTTTTTTTGTTTTGTTTTGTTTTGTTTTTTTGACAGGCAGAGTTAGACAGTGAGAGAGAGAGACAAAGAGAAAGGTCTTCTTTCTGTTGGTTCACCCCAAAAATAGCCGCTACGGCCGGAGCTACGCCGATCCAAAGCCAGGAGCCAGGTACTTCTCCTGGTCTCCCACTTGGGTGCAGGGCCCAAGGACCTGGGCCATCCTCCACTGCCTTCCCAGGCCACAGCAGAGAGCTGGCCTGGAAGAGGGGCAACCGGGACAGAATCTGGCACCCTGACCGGGACTAGAATCCGGGGTGCCGGCACTGCAGGTGGAGGATTAGCCCAGTGAGCCACGGCACCAGCGAACACTGTTCTATAACTTAACAGTTTTTTAATTTTCTTCATAGCACTAGTATGATAAAATTATTTAGAGGTTGGGCTTTTGACACAGTAGTTAAGAAACGTTTATGAATATCTGCATCTCATGATAGAGAGCCTGGTTTGAGTCCCAGATCCAATTCTGATGCAGCTTCCTACTAATGTCCACCCTAGGAGGCAACAGACAATGGTTCAAGTACTTGGATCCCTGCCACTCATGTGAGAATTCCAGACTGAGCTCCATCCTGGATTTGGCTTGGCCTAGCCCCAACTTTTGCTGGCTTGGGGGAGTAAACCAGCAAAAGAAAGACTCCGTATCCTCCCCACTCCAAAATAAAGTAAAAATAAAAATTTTAAATGAAAAAATCGTATTTATTTGTTCAATATTATTTCTCCTCTATGAGAATAAGTGATCCATTAAGGCCATGTTTTGACTGCCCTTCGAACACTTCTATCCTCAGTATAGAGCACAGTTTCTGGCACTCATGAAGTGTTAAAAGTCGATGAAAGAATGCCATTTGCCCTTCTTCTCTACTACCTAGGAAAACTGCTAAATATGTCCCCTACGAAGGGAATCAGAACACACTACATATGCCACTTTCGCCCACTGATTACTTTGAGCTGATGGCGTTTGAATAGCAACAGATATAGGAAAGGTTTTCTGTTCTCCCAATTTCTACCTAAAGCAGAACACAATTTTCCATGGAAAGGTACCTTCCCTTTACCAAGAGGAGAGGACATTCTCATCATTAGAGATGGGGAGTTGATGCCAAGATAAATTTGAACAAACAAACCTTACTAAAGCAAAACCCTTTTCATCTATTAGTACTCCATCCCCATATATTTCCCAGTCATTTTCCTACATTTTATCACCCCCACCCAAAACCCTTTTCCTTTACATTTGTTATATCTCCACAACTTATTGTTCTTTGTTAAAATGGTATATAAGCTGCTGGGTCTAACTGCTTCCCTAAGGTTTTCACCTCTTTTAAGGAATACCCTAATGCCACATAAAATATTAACATGAACTAAAATTTATATATGCTGCTGTTAATCTGTGTTTTGTCAGTAAGGTTTATAGGTCCCAGGCACAGAACTTGAAAAAGTAGAGGAAAAGTCTCTCTCCCTGTACTCGATCACTTATTTGGTTCACAAACCACAGGCAGCTGCCTGGCTGCTCTAACCTGACAAGTTTACATGGCACAAAGAGTTTGGATTAATATGTAGGACAATGAGAAGAAGAAAGACACAGTCAGTATGAGCAGGAAGTTTTCTTATCAAAACAGGAGCTGCCATTCAGAGACAATTGGGGACCCCCTGGGAATTCTCCCAGGGTCTGAGAAAGCAGCTCCATTACACAGTAACAAGAGCCTCAGAGTGAAGGGTTGAGGAGTGTTCTCAGACCAGGAGGAATCTGTCCCGCTGGGGACAATTTACTACAATATCTTATTGTTCTTCTCTGAGGTAGGAGTTTTGAAAGCCCTAATTCCATGTCGGCTAGGTAACACCTGGCACACACCATCTGAGTCAGGAAGAACAAATGTCCTCCATCTCCAAGGCAAAGCACAATCTCATTCTTCCCCAAACCACACAAAGTCCAGTCCTTCCTCAACTCAACTGCAGTGGGGCAAATATTCAATAAACAGAGGGAACTCAGGGTTCCCAACAAAACCAGTGCTTAGTGTGGATATTAAGCTCCACCTCTGAAACCAGGGCAGCCCTTTTGTTCCCTAAGTAGCTCACAAGAAAAGCCCATGCTGTTGGCAGAATGACATTAAGAACTAAAGAGGTCAATCAGTTGAAACAAAACTGTAATAAAATTATTTTCTGTGCCAAATTATGTCTCAAAATCAAGCTACTTGAATACCTCCCCTGGGTGTAGATAAGACAAAAAACAACATGGGGGCTGTTGGCACTGGGGGCACAGAATTTTCAGGTCATTACTACTATTAGATTTTTTTTTCTGTTATTGTTAAAGTTGTTAGCAGTCAGCTGGATTGTGTTTGGGAGAGGATATTTAGCAAAATTGTACAAAAAGTGCTACTCCATAGGCTTCTGGATCTGTCCAAGGCTGCTGACTCTAGTGAAATGATCCTTTGTTAAAGAAGAATGAACTCATTCAGGAATAATCCATTAATTTTCCTCTTAATCTTGTCAGGTGGAGGCATAAGGTTTAAGGGGGAACAACACAAGGTTTCTGGGAATCAGTTTTAAAGTTTTCATAAGAAAATGAACTTTGGGAAAAGACTGATTAAAATTCAAGGAAACACCCTCCTTACAAACTAAACTGATGACCCAGATACTTGGTAGTAACTGTCCATCATACGCTGTAGCCAGATCAGATTGCCTCTCCCAGCTACACAGCTCAGCTCTGCTTACTGCTAATATATATTGAGAGGTTCAGGGACAAAAGCATTATGTTAGCTTTCCTCTTCTATAGTCACAAGACATCTGTCATACCTGTAGGATTAACCTCAGAGGTTTTATACTCCAGGATGTTTACAATTTGCTTTTAAGTAACGAATGAATCTAGGGTATTCTTTTAAGTTGTTAGATTTGAACCAGCATTTTGACACAGATGGTTAAGCTGTAGCCTGAGATGTTGGTGTTCCATAGGAGTAATGATTCAAGTGGTAGATGCTCTACTTCCCATTCAGCTCCCTGCTAATGCACCTGGAAAAGCATTAGAAGATGGTCCAAGTGTCTGGGTCCCAGGCACTCACATGGGAGACCTGATGGAGGTCTGGCTCCTGGCTTCAGCCTGGTACAGCCCTGGCTGTTGTTGCTATTTGGGAGTGAACCATGAATGGAAGGAAGATCTCCCTCTCTCTGTCTCTCTCCTGCTTTTCAAGTAAATGAAATAAATGTTAAAAAAAAAATTATTGGAGCCACCATTGTGAACAATAGGTTTAGCCACTGCCTGTAAAGCCAGCAACCCATATGAGCATCGGTTAGTTTAGCTCCCTGTCAAAGTGACAGGGAAAATGGCAGAAAATCATTCAAATGCTCGGATACCTGCTACCCACATGGGAGACCTGGATGGAGTTCCAGGCTCCTGGCTTCAGCCTGGCTCAATCCCGGCCATTGTGGCCATCTGGGGAGTGAACCAGAAGATGGAAGCTCTCTTTCTGTTCCTCCCTCTTTGTAACTCTTTGAAATAAATACATTTTAAAAAATAAGTTACTAAACTTTTTATAGTAAGTCTATTTTTGGTGACTGGGGACAGATACTACTTGAGTATAAAATAAAGACAGAAGTTTTATTTCTTCCTTTTCCTGCCAAGGAGCTAGAGAGATGCCGGCTGGCAGCATGCGCTGGTTCTGGGCAGGTGGGTACTAGATTTAGTGGCTTGTCTGAACGACCAAAAGAAAAGTCTTAGCTGACAAGAGTTGAGATAAACTTAATAGGTGGGTAAGACAAAGCAGAACACTTTGTTCGTTATACTCCCCGACAGGACAAATGAGTTTGGACCAGAGGTGAATTATGTGGAGGATCTGAAAGCACTGGTCCTTCACCTCGCATATGTCTGAGAACAGTTTAGAGAACACGCCTGAAAGTCAGCATCTGAGACAGTGGAGGCAGGCATGGGTGGTCAGGCGGCAGGGTGCCCGTGCTTCAGGGCCCCTGGACAAGGAAGGGGCAGACGTGGCCAGGTGGTACCTGAGAGGAGAGGGCACGGAGAGGGCTGAGCTCCCCTGCCTGCCCACGCAATGCTCAGAGGTTTCCCCCTGGAAGGCCTCACTGCCTCAGTGTTCCGGATCAGGAAGCCAAGGTGCCCCAGTCCCGAGAGCTAGAAGGTGCCAGAACAGGGCTCTTTCCCTGTGTGGTGTCGTGGTTCCCTGCATTACCAAGGGCTGCTTCTGGAGCTCCTAATCCTTCATTAAATTCATTAAAACTCTATTCTAATCCTCCTCATACAAAAATAAGCAAAAGAAAAAGCCAGGCTCAGGCAAGAACAATCCATTTTCCCAGGCTGCTGCTTGAATGGCTTGATTTCTGAATGCCTAATATGTCATCCTGATTCTTCCACCCATCAGTTTTTGCCTGGACCACACATTCAGGATGCCCATTGCCCTCTGCTGTCAGGCATTTACGGACAGACGCTCACCCTGAGCCCCGTCTACACAGCAGTCCTGGCCTGCACCCTGCCTTCCAGCAGACTCTCTCTAAAACAGTTAAGAGCTACCAGAACGAGCTGAAACGCCATGGTTTGGGCCAGAACCCGAGTGTGCTTGTGAAGGCAAGAGGCCTGTTTCCCCCTGTCTTTTCACGAATGACACGGAGCCATTTCCTGGGCTGCGCCTGTGGGCAATTCTGGTGAATGGGCGCCCTCCGAGCAGGGGCAGCTCCAGTTCCCTTCGGCTTCACCCCAGCTTTCACAGAGAAAGAGCAGCAGCAGCCACAAGAGGGGGAACCCATTAAAAACATTGCAAGCCCTTAGGCATGGAACCAATTCATATGGAAGCCAAATGGTTGGGGCTCTTGATAACGTCACTGAAAACAGAAAGTGCAAAACAATCCCTTCCCCAGGCCCTGAAAATGGAGAACAATTTTGCATGTTTATACTCCTATTTGCAAAACTAATGTTCAACCAAGAACTTCATGTTGTGAAAGGCGAACATTGCCCGAAGCACATTCGCAGAGGACCTTAATGAGATAAGATTCCCGGTTATTTCCAGTGGGATGTCTGGTGATGTCTGTGTGTATTAATGCCATTGCAGATGAGTGGCCCATTACGATGCATTTCCTCTGGGAACCATTGAGCATTCTACTCATTATTGAATTATTTATTGTTCACACAGAATGGAGGAAAATTCTATCTGTGAGCAAGACCCCTTCTGTCAGGAAAAAAAAAAAACAAAACACTTGGACAAGAAATACCCCTAACCCCCACCCCAGAACTATACATAATTGAGAAAGTCTGCCAAAATTTAGTTTGGAGACCAGTTATTTGTTTCTGTTTTATTTATGAATAAATTTGTAGGTTCCTCTAAAAAATCCTGGCAGTGAGGAAGGGGATGGCGAAGAGTCATCTATTTTTTTAAATTTATTTATATTTTGACAGGCAGAGTGGATAGTGAGAGAGAGAGACAGAGAGAAAGGTCTTCCTTTGCCGTTGGTTCACCCTCCAATGGCCGCCGCGGCCGGCGCACTGCGCTGATCCGATGGCAGGAGCCAGGTGCTTTTCCTGGTCTCCCATGGGGTGCAGGGCCCAAGCACTCGGGCCATCCTCCACTGCACTCCCGGGCCACAGCAGAGAGCTGGTCTGGAAGAGGGGCAACTGGGACAGAATCTGGTGCCCCAACCAGGACTAGACCCCGGTGTGCCAGCGCCGCAAAGCGGAGGATTAGCCTAGTGAGCCGCGGCGCCGGCGAGTCATGTGTTTTTGTTTGGAGCTCTCACCTCTCCTGTTGCTCCTTTCAACCCCTCTACTGTGTCCCTCAGCACCCACCGACTTCACATTCAGATGAGCTGGAGCGATTCTGAAAAATCCCACCCCAGGGAGGTTGAATGCCAGCGTTGGGAGGACCGAGCCCCAGGGAAGGTATTCCGAATAACCTGCCCAATTGGTTCGTGTATTCAGGGCCCAGGACCCCCTAGTTAAGGTGAACGTGGGCCTCATGAGCCAGAGCTGAGGGTCTCACTTCACCTGCAGCGTTTCTCTCCCCCAGATCAGACTCCTCATTGTTCTGAAGATGATTACTCACCACACAACATACTAGAAAACACATCCAGAAGAGAGTACTCAAAAGTTCAATGTTAGACAAGAACTAGATCACTATGATTATACTACATAAAAAAAAAAAGGCATCTAACTAGCCATGTGCCAAGTTCACTACAGGCTGCAAAATAAAACCTGCAAATCACAAAGAAGAAAGGAGTAACAGCTCATGCTTGCAAATAAATACCTTTAAACAAGAAGGTTCTAGAAAAGCTTGCATAATCATTATCTTTTCATTGAAAAAATATCCCTGTCGTTAGGTTCTATGTACAGAACGATTTGTTGCATCCCAAACGTGGAAGTCATTTTACCACCATGCATTGCTTACTTGGATATCAGATGATTGGCATTTGTTTTGTTTTCCTGACGTAAATGACTAGAGAATCCATTGCTCTCTTTTGAACATGCCCTGGTACCTCATCCCATTCCATTTCACTGACCAGATTGCAGTCTCCTTGCATTCTGTCTGTCCTCCGGGGGCACCCAGTTTTCTCCAGCAATGTTTTGATGAGGCTTCTTGAGTGGTTGAGGGGTGGGAGGTCGCCAGCAGAGAGGACCTGGAGCCAACCTGCACGGCGGCTTGGACTCCCCGTGCGGCTGCCGTCCTGGGTTGAGGGCTTGTCTGCCTCCACAGAGGGAACAGGGTTAGGTGGAAGGAACAGCGGCATCCAAAACACGCAAAGCTTTGTCCAGAAGCACATTTCCAGTCTTCCTTTACCTGGAGTCTGTCTTGGGCGGGTTGCTGTTCACAGGGTAAACTTGTAACCAGAGGAATTTCTGTGATAAAAGGGACAACACCAAAGTTCAATCACTGTGCCTGCAACATGTTTGGAAAGATTCTTTCATGGGGTGTCTAAGCAGATTTGCAATGACACGTTATTCCTAAACAACAAGGGGTCTGTAGGTGGCCTATAACCTAAATGACAGGAAGCAACCATGGCTGCAGACTGTCAAAGTGCAGAGGAACAACCAAGAAGCTTGTTAGAATGCCTCTCCCTGCACCATACGGAGTCAAAAGCTAGGAAGAAAATGCATCCCAGTTTTATCTGCAACATGGTTCACGTTACAGGATCTGGCAGAGCAAACACCTTGGCTTTATCCCACTCTAAGTCATCTGTGGTCCTCACGACTAAAGTAAGTGAATAAAAGTAAAGAGAAAATAAATTGTAATAAATTACCAATCTAATGTTGAAAAGTTCGAGACAAGCCAAACTACTAGAAGAAAATAGCAATGTTCAGGAGGATTTTAGCTTGAGAATCAAGATTCTGGAAGATGAAGTATCTGAGAAAAATAGGAACGTCTCAAGACCTTGCCAGCCTTAATAAATCCACTCCCTCAAAAGTCATTAAAGGGGTGGCAGGTAACTTCAGAGCTGATCAGCTTTCTGGGGGAAAAAAAAAAAAAACTCTTCAGCTGATTATTGAAGGAACGCAAAATATTAGCAACATTTCCTATCAGATCGTGGCCCAGAGATGAGCTAATAATGTGGGGGAATAGCAAAGATACTTTTATGTTTTGGAAATTTTTTAAAGGTTAAAATTCTTATGTTAGTATCTTCAAAATGACAGATAGTACAAGCATTTCTAAACCCAGTGCTTACCTTCAGGAGAAGGATAAACGATTATTTATCTGGAGCTCCACAGCCTTTTAAATCTCAGGGAGTATTTTGTGGTTACAAAGTCCTCTTTTTAAAATTCCTTGACTGTGCACTGAAAGCCAGAGAGGATTATTGCAGCCCAGAGAAGTTTTCCGTTGCTATGGCAATCGCTGCTCTGAAGGTAACAATGAAAGTGGATAAAAGTGAGAACTTTCTCTTTGGCAGATTTGCAGGATGACCAAAATGTGGTTAATGAACTCAATCTTTTATATCAATATTTAGCCCATTTTCTTAGAGGCCTCTACAGTCACTTGCCTTTCCTGGGGCAGAATCTAGGTCATCAGATTTCACCTGGCACAATGGAGAGATTTTAGTGCTAGGTCAAGAGTTTTTCGTGAGAATTGTTTCATCCAGACAAACCAAGGATCTGTTGAAGAATTGACTCTTTAGATCCTTATTGATTTCACAAGGTATAGAACTTGGGAAGATTTAAGGCATTTGCAAATAGACATTTTCAAGCAAAAAGCAAAGTGTGAGTTGGGGGAGTAAAGTGCTTACCCAAGCAGTAGCTGGAAGTAGGAACATTTGTTCACGTCATACATCATGACCCCCAGATTCCGTGGTAGAAGTGGAACCATCAGACTTTTCAGGTCTTGCAAAAGGCAGTGAATAAGTGATTGAAGCCACAGAGGGGTAAATCTTCGAGGAGACAAGTTACATCCTGAGAATTCAAAACTGGACAGAGTCCCTGCAAACTGCACAGAGTACATGGAAACACACGGGAATCTAAAGATTATAGAGGCTGGACAGGACCGAGTTCCATTCTGTGTGTGACAGGGCTGCTGGTGATGAGGCTGAGGAAGTGAGATAAGAATCTGGGATACTTAGACACACTGATCATTAATTAGACATGGAAACTGGGAGCAGGGGGGTGGGATAATCCTGAGAAAATACTGCTAAAAGTGACAGGAATGTATGGAAGGCAAATGTTCCTGGACAACGCTAGGCCCCTCTTTGATGACCCCTCATGGAGTATGTGGTTTTATCTAGAACTGTCAAGAGAACACGGTTGACCCATTTCTCCAGAGTTCTATGGTGAGATTAACCAGAGTTAGATATCGGATCATCAGGGGCCGATGCTGTGGTGCAGCAGGTTAAAGCCCTGGCCTGAAGCACCGCCACCCCATATGGATGCCGGTTCTAGTCCCGGTTGCTCCTCTTCCGATCCAACTTTCTGCTGTGGCCTGGGAAAGCAGTAGAAGATGACCGAAGTCCTTGGGCCCCTGCACCCATGTGGGAGACCCGGAAGAAGCTCCTGGCTTTGGATCGGCACAGCTCCGGTCGTTGCAGCCACCTGGGGAGTGAAGCAGCAGATGGAAGACCTCTCTCTCTGTCTGTACCTCTCTCTGTAACTGCCTTTCAAATAAAATAAATCTTAAAAAAAAAAAAAGATATCAGATCATCAAACAGAGGAGTGGGGAACTGAATCAAAGTCAAGACCTTAGAGCTGATGGTGTAGAGGAAGTAGAAAAGGAGGCAGTAGGCTCAGGACCAGAGGAGCTATGCTATGTGGCCTTCTGCTCATCACTTGCCCCTGCCCCTACAGCAGGGACCTCCTGAGCATCACTGACCTGATTAGGAGGTTACCCAGGGAACATAGCCCAAGCCCATTCAGCAGATTATCTGGTCCCCCCATAACCCGGGACCTCCAAACACAAGTGCTCTTCCCTGTCTGTGGAGTTACCGCCTTTCTTCCTGGAGAAGCTCTACGAAGCAGATGCCTAAATCTGCTTGAATCCTACTGAACAGCTGTCCTGTTGCCCCAGGACCGGTTCCTGACGTTCTCTCACCCATGCTCATGGGACAGTGCCCCTGTTGGGACTTCAAGGCCTGCATCCTAATTCCCCAGTGCCAATGGCCAGCACAGAAACCCTACATTTCCTGGCCTCTGAGTCTTCAGATTCCAGGTTGCAGCTTAAGCCCTTCATGCCCAACTCACCTGCTTCCCGAGAAGTCTGAAGTAACCCTTTTAAAAACATATTGACGCTTTCAGTCCGAATCAGTTTTAAGGGGTAATGCATTTCATGTGTGGCAACTTTTGGACGTGAAAGTGGGAACTAATTTACCTTTGATTGATGTGGGGGCCAGGCTCTTGTAGTGCAGTGTTTCCTGCTGGACCGACAATTGTGCTATCCCAGGAAGACCTGTGCAGACAGAGGAGGCAGGCTCTGAGCTACCCGCCCCCCCCCCTTCCTTCAGTTCCCGTTCTTTGCCTTTTGTTGTGTCCTCAGCATCGCATTCTTTCTTCACATCAATATATTTACAGGTATACTCTGGCTGGATCCAGAAAGAATGTAAAGTGGTCCCCAGGTTACATAAAATACAAGATGGCAGCATTAAGGAGAGACTAAAGCAAGAGCAGAGACATCTTGTGTGCATATCTCAGTGCTGTCATGCATGGTTTTGCAACGTGGGCACTGTGCAACCCTAGAGAGCACCATTCTTTCCCATCATCATGACAGATTTACCTGTGAACTATATTTTTCTAGCAGGCATTTTGAGAAAAGGTGTTTTTGTTTTTTTTTTTCCTAACTCATGCATGTGTACATGTTGAGCCAAAGGCAGGGCTGTGTGTGCTTCACGTCCATAACACCCAGCCACGCTTGGTGGAGCCGTCTTCTCTTGTAGAGAGATAAGTTCCCACTACTACAGCCACTTCTGGACCTGGCTTCTCCTCAGGTCCTCTTCACACTGTCAGCCTCTTTCCAAAGACACTGACCCCCTCTAAAGAATAATTATGCGTATTGGCATCCATTAAGTACCATTTATGCCTAGGCCCTGTGCTAAGCAACCTTATTTCTTCTCATGCAGTATCAACGAAACCTGAGTAATTCCTCACTGTGTAATTTAGAAGTGCCGAGGGTCACACAACTGATAGATACTACCAGAAACCCAGGCCTGTCTGCATCAGAGTTGCTGCTTTTACTGTCAAACAACCATCTGTTGCAATGCGACCCTTGTCTTTATTTGCATGTCCAAGCTCTTTTCCCAGTGCAGTATGGGAAGATATACAATGAGTGTCCATTACATGGGAAATTACCTGCTACATTTTGCTTTTTGCATTCTCCTCTAAGCACCTTCAACTCAAATATTCTCAGAGAAAAAGATAATTTCTAAAAAATATAGACTTTAATTAGAGTTTTAGGCTCACCTCTTCTGTAATACTTACCAATAATATGTATAACTTGAATCAAATCTTACTTCTTTAAATTGTTTTCTCAGAGAATATACAGAATACTTAAGTGAAAAGACAGTTTCTAGAGCGTAGGGACTAGTATTAGACATCTTGTCTCTGTGACACTGTCCAAATCACCATATTTCCAACAGTTGGAAAATTTTAATTGTCTTGAATTGAACCATTTGGGTTGTTTTTGAAAGTTAACAGTAAAAATGATAAAACAAAATTAAATTCTATATGTAATTGTCAAATTATTTTCTTCTTATAAAAGTCATACAATATTACTAAAAAGTCATCAAAATGCCTAAGAATACCAAAAAATAGATAACTTCTCCACCAGAGATAACAGATATTATGCTACTTTTTGGTTTCTCTATTCCTTCAGCATAACTTGGGTTGTAATTTTTCAGTGCTTCATTTATTATTCACTATATTGTGCCAGTTTTGTTAGATTTGGTTCTGTTTTGTCATTTCAAAAGTTGACCTTTCTTGGGCAGATTTTGGTACCATGGTCCATGATGCTTGGGACACCCACATCCCATGCTGGAATGCCTGGGTTTGATTCCCAGTGCTACCCATGATTCTAGTTTCCTGCTAATAAGCACCCTGGGATGTAGCAGATGATGGTTCAAGTACTTGGTTCCTTGCTATCCACATGGGAGAATTGGACAGAACTCACAGGTTCCTGACTTCAGCCTGGCCCCACTCTGGCTTTTGTGGGCATTTGGGGAGTGAACCAGTATATAAGAGATTGCTCTTTGTCTCTGTTTTCTCAAATAAGCAAAATGAAACTTAGAGACAAAAACAAAAATAAAACACCAAAAATTTGATATTTAAAGAGAGAGAGAGAGAGAGAAGAAAAATCCATTCCAAGAAGAAAGATGAAAGGGGGAGTCCGGGACCTGAAGGTGTCATCCAAATCCCCTCTGAGTCCTGGCCTACCCATGGGGTTTTGTTAAATGAAACCAACCAACCGGCCTTATCTGCACTGAGATTGTTTTATCAAGTTCTATTGATCTGAACCAAATGAAACATCAATAACACTTAAGACACCATCATGTCTGGTCATCTTTTTTGATTTCTGGAAGAGCCATTTTCAGAGAAAGAAAGGTTGATAGCAATGGAAGGAGGGAACTAAGGCCTGCTAGACACTTAATTTACAGGCTGTCTCTGAACCTCTCTGGGTTGATCCTGTGTAAACAGGCATAGCAGTTACAACAAATTGACACACATTTAGCCATTCAAAGCAACGCACATGGATTATCTCACAATTTCTGTGCAGGAGCCCAGACATAGTTGAGCTGGATCCTCTGCCCCAGTGTGCTGCAGGGCTCAGCCAGGGCTGGATTTCTTTTGAAGACTGAACTGGGGAAGGATCCTCTTTGTAGCTCCTATGACTGTGGGGATTTGATGGAATCTAATCACAGAGGGATTTCCCCTCTTTTACTGGCTAGACATGAGTCACAGGACCCACTCACACTCAGGGGAGGGGATACACGGGGCTATGAATACCAGGAGGGGGGACCATTGTGGACCACATGTCGAAGGTGGGAGGGTAGGAAACTGAGTCAATGACAATATCCCCCAAAGCTGTGTTTGTAATCCATATCTTCTACTGGGGAGTTAGAGAAGATGAACTCTTTTTTTCAACATTTTCTTCATCTCCTAGTCACTCTCCAACCTTACTTATTGTAAAGTCCTCCTGAAGTAACTACAAGTAATACTAATCAATGGATATATTTAAAGTTTCATATTTATTCAGAATTTTGAGTGCCAGGGCAAAATTTTCCTTTTATTTTCCTTTTTTTAAATTTAGCTCTCTTATGTTGATCATAAAATTAAGAACACTTTCTAATTTGAAATTAAAAGATATTAAAGTATATAACAATCAACTTTACATTT